TGGTCTGGGGACCCTCCCTCATTGGGGACACTGGGTGATTGGTAGGTCTGGGGTCCCTCCTTCATCAGGGAGCCTGGGTGATGGTTGGTCTGGGGTTCCTCCCTCATCAGGGACACTGGGTGTTGGTTCGCCTGGGGTGCCTCCCTCATCAGGGACACTGGGTGATGGTGGGTCAGGTGTCCCTTCCCTCGTCACGGTTCAGGGACCCTGGGTGACGGTGGGCCCCGAAGTAGGTCCCCTGTGCCTGCCCACCTCACCTCGCACTCATAATGGCCCAGGTCATCCTTGCTGGCTGTCAGGATCTCCAGCACCATCAGACCACTGCGGGGCTCACTCAGGGTTCGGTACTTGCTGCTGGGCGTTATCAGGGCCCCATCCTTGTACCACCTGCAACCAACCCCAGCGGGTGAGGAGGGCCTCCCCAGGTTCCTCCACTGGAGACTCTCCTCTTGCCCACCCTGCAGGATCGGGCTTCCATCCAGAACCCACGTGCTCCTGACACCACCCACCCAACCTCCAGTGGGTGTTGCCCTCCCTGCAGCAGGAGTCATGTTTAGCATCAGGATTAGCCCACCCCTCAGGCAGCCAGCTTGCCGCCTACCTCCCCTCCCGTGCCCCGGGTGCAAGCTGACCAGCCCACCTGATCTGAGGGTGTGGGGCACCTTCAATTGTGCAGGTGACTTGCGCATCCTCTCCCTCCACAAAAGGAACTGCCCGGACCTTTTTCACAAATCGTGGGGGTACTGTGGGGCCACAGAGCAGGGTAAGGGAAAGAGACACAGACACCATGATGGAGCAGGAGCCTACCCCCACTCATGAGTGCCCCAGACATCACCGGCAGTCCACCCGCAGACCTCTGCCCCCCAGTGGGGCCACGGAGGTGGAGTGGGGTCCAGATGCTTCCTACTCCGGTCTCCCTCACAGGGCAGGCTCACCTTGCACCAGGATCTTGCCCAACGTGCTGGCATTGCCGGCGGCACTGGCCGCAAAGCACATGTACTGGCCAGAGTCCACGCCAGTCAGGTTGTCCAGGATGAGGGCACACGAGCCATCGGGGTCTTCAATGAGGATGTGGTGCGGATCCACCTCCACTAGCTTCCCATCTGCAAAGGAAGGCAGCGCTGTCACGGAGGGCACCCTGCCAGGGACAGGAGGCTGGCCTGCCTGGGGGGTCGCAGTCTTGGGGCAGTGATGGGGGGCCACCCCTGGAGCACAGACCCCTGGTGGGGAGCCTGGCTGGTCATGCTGACCGAGTCCTGTCCCTTTCCCCAGACCTGTGTGGCCTTGGGAAGTAGGCTCATAGCAGGGTTCCTGCATGGCATGCCGCCTGAGGCCATGCCCAGAGGGATGCTCTGAGTCCATGATGGGGCCCCATCACACGGGGCATGCTCCTCATCCTGGCAGATCGTAGTCTTTGGGGAGCTCCCTGTGGGCTCTCCCACCATGACGCTGCTTTGGGTCACAGCGGCTCTTGCCTGTGTGAGCTGCCTGCATTGTGACGCCATGTGTCGGCATCTGCCGACCCTCACACTTCCTCCCATCCACCCCTCAGGAGGGCAGTTTGGTCACCGGACACACAGCTGTCCCCAGACACAAGTTTTCCCCTCCAGGGTGCTGACAGCATTAAAGGGGCAGAGGACTCCCCACCCGACTACTCCAGGGTGAGGTGTGTCCTCCTTTCCCCTCAGATACAGACATGGCCCGGCCAGCTCGCCTTCCTGGGGGCAGCCTGGCCAGAAGCAGGGTGGTCCCAGGGGCTTGTTCTTGCTTCCAGGCAACTTTCTGAACTGCCCTGTCCCTCTGGGTTGGCCATCCCAGGCACAGGTCTGGCCATGAGGGGATCATGGGATGGGCAGCTGCACTCCCAGGTTCTGTGCAGGGGGGTGGGGGGGAGCAGCTGGGAGGGACCTCCCAGACCCCAGGACGTGGGGGCAGTGGGGCCTCCTTCCAGAAGAAGACCCCAGGGCAGAGGATGGGGCTCTCCCAAACTGCCACTGGACACCAGCTGCTGCGTCCACTGGCTCCGGCCTGTGGCTCTGACCGTGGGACCCAGGGAAGGCCCAGCAATGCCCCCAGGTGTCCTTAGCAGCCCTGTCCTTAACCAGGAGGGTCACACAAGTGCCCCCAGGGCCTGACCACCCTGGGACGGCTCCTTCAAGACCAGGGCTGGATTCGGGTATTCGGGCTGCACCGGAGCCCTGGAAACCGACCTGCCAGCCCAGGCCAGCCCAAGTGACCTCCAGTAAGAGTGTCTTGGTTTACCTGGGGGCCTTGGACCCCATCTGTTGTGATTTAGGTTTGGGCCTTAGGGCCACGTGGCAGCAGCTTGAGCTCTGCAGAGTCTGTAACAGACGTCAGCTGTGCCTGCGTGAGCGACCCCCCAACAGGTGCCCCAGACACAAGGCTCAGAGGAGCGTCCCCAGGGGGCTGGACTGCACTGCTATGCGTCCACGTGGGACAGACATGAGGTCTGCAGGACTCCACCGGAGGGGAGGGCAGCGGGACACCAGGACCCCGCCTGGACACCCAACTGGAACCCTCCCCACGTACCTCTTCCTGCTCCTGCAATAAGCCAGACCCTGAGTGCACACTCTGCTGAGTTCTGTGAGTCCTTCTAGCGATTCACTGAACCCACAGCTGGTCATGGGACCCCCAAACTGGGTGTCAGAACTGGGGGTGGTCAAGGGGACCCCCGAACGGCAGCTGGTGTCAGAGCTGGGGGTGGTCAAGGGGCCCCCGAATGGCAGCCGGTGTCAGAACTGGGGGTGACCCTGGGGACCCGTGAACAGCAGCTGGTATCAGCACTGGGGGTGACCCTGGGGACCCCCAAATAGCAGCCAGTGTCAGAACTGGGGGTGGTCCTGGGGACCCTGACCGGCAGTTGTGTCAGAACTGGGGGTGACCCTAGGGACCCCGGAATGGCAGCCTGTGTCAGAACTGGGGGTGGTCCTGGGGACCCCTGAATGGCAGCCAGTGTCAGAACTGGGGGTGGCCCTGGGGACCCCAAATGGCAGCCGGTGTCAAAACTGGGGTGGTCCTGGGGACCCCTGAACAGCAGCCGGTGTCAGAACTGGGGGTGACCCTGAGGACCCCACAAATGGCAGCTGGTGTCAGAACTGGGGGTGGTCCTGGGGACCCCCGAATGGCAGCCAGTGTCAGAACTGGGGGTGACCCTGGGGACCCCACAAAAAGCAGCCGGTGTCAGAACTGCGGGTGGTCCTGGGGACCCCCAAATGGCAGCCGGTGTCAGAACTGGGGGTGGCCCTGGGGACCCCCGAATGGTAGTTGTGTCAGAACTGGGGGTGGCCCTGGGGACCCTGAACGGCAGCTGGGTCAGAAGCGAGGATGGTCCTGGGGATCCCCGAACAGCAGCTGGTGTCAGAATGGGGGGTGGTCAAGGGGCCCCCAAATGGCAGCCGGTGTCAGAACTGGGGGTGGCCCTGGGGACCCCCAAATGGTAGTTGTGTCAGAACTGGGGGTGGCCCTGGGGACCCGTGAACAGCAGCTGGTATCAGCTGGTATCACCCCAAATGGCAGTTGTGTCAGAAGCAAGGATGGTCCAGGGGACCCCAAACAGCAACCAATGTCAGAATTGGGGACCCCCGAACTTTGTGGCTCCCATCACATCCAGAGCCAAACCTGAGACCCTACCACAGGGCGGGCCTCAGAGTCCACCCTGCCCTCTCCTGGCCACCTGGCTGGGCCCCTAGAGCTCCTGCACATCTGCCAGAGAGGCCTGCCAGCTAACCCTCCATCCTCCTCATTTCTCTGGCCGGCCATACCACCTCCCCACTTTGTCTGTCCACTGGTTTGCCATCAGTCTAGCTCCCTACATGGCCAGCACCCTTGGGCGGGGCCTATTTGCCGCTACGTCCCTGGTACCTGGAATGGGGTGCTAGCCCTCGGTACAAACTCGTCAAACAAGACAGCCAAGGAATGAGATCTGGAGTGGATAGGGTCCCTGCGTTTGAATCACGGGGGCACACCCCCTGCTCTGAACCACCTCGTCTAGCTGTGCTCCCAGCCAGGCAGAGTCAACGGCCAGTGGGAGAGGACGCCTGTCCCTCATGGCCCCCGAGGGCGCCCGACCAGGCCCAATTCCCTCTGGAAGGCTCTTGCGGGTGGAGCGTCCACATCCCTCCGTCTGCAGCGGCCTACCTTTGTACCAGCTGACAACGGGCTTGGGGGTGCCCGTCACACGGCAGGCCAGCTTCACGGTCTCGCCCAGCTCTGCTGTGCAGTCCGCCAGCTCCTCTTCGAAATCTGGGGGATCTGGGCACACACACGCACACACACGCACAGACTCTGAGCTCCTGGTGGGTGGGACAGCAGTGCCCCCATGTCCTTGGTCAGAAGCCCCAGCGTCCAAGGGTATGGTTGTTACAGACACCGCCCCTTTCGACCTTCCGTTCAGGTGGCCCTTCCCGTCCTTAACACAATCTGGGCACCTGTCCTGTGCTGGGGGGCCCCTGTGTGAACCCTGAGGCTTCCCTGCACTCAGGTCAGGGTCAGCCCTACAGCCCAGCGCAGGCTCGCGAGAGGCTGAGCTGACTGTGCCCCAGATGGAGCCTATCCTTTGTGCGTCCTGGGACCGGGATACGGGGCTGAGGCTTGGGGGGCCAGAAAGGCTCAGGTGCTGAGTGTGACCTCCCCGCCTGCCAGGGGCAGGAGCACTCACGCCACACGGGCAGGGCCAGGCGCTGCTGGATGCTGCAGATCTCCTTCACCCATGAGTTCTTGGTGATGACCGTGCGCGCCTGCAGCAGGTACTTGCGCACCGAGTCCTCCCGCTCGTGCCAGATCTCGAAGGCACGGTCGTCACCCTCCACCTGGTCGTTCAGGTCGATGCTGCTCAGCTGTGGGGGGCAGGGAATGCAGGCTGACTGTCTGGACACAGGCTTCTGCCCGCCCGCCCCCTGCCCCAGGCTCCCACGGCGCACGCGCACCTTCATCATGTTCCGGAAGACGTAACTGAAGGTGTCGGTGCGGGAATCCCTTCTGGTCTTGCAGACAACCAGGTGGTGGTGGAACAGGAAGACGTGGCGGTGGTGGCCCTTCCAGGGCATCCGCGCGCCCGGCGCCCCCTCCCACACGATGAAGTGGCCCTGCAGGGAGCAGTCAGCACCAGCCTAGCACCCCCCCGCCCCCCGTGGCCCTGCCCAGGCGCCCCGCCCATGTCCCTGTCCCGACCTGGCGGATGGGCTCGCCCAGGGCCTCCAGGGTGCCCGGGTAGTTCTCCATGAGTGACACGTGCAGCTGGTTCTCGGCGCGCTGCGGCAGGGCCGACACGAGCGCGTAGGCCTGCTCCAGCAGTGCACAGTTCTGCCCGTTCCTCGCCTTGTTGCGGATCAGCTCCTGGGGGACACAGCGTCAGGCCGCGTTCCCAGCCGCTGAGCGACGAGGCCGGGGAGGGGGCCCGGCGCGCACCCCTACCTTGAGCAGGGCCTGGTACTGCTGGACGCGCTGCACTGGCCGCTCCAGGAAGTGCTGCAGGGGTGGTGGGGGCGGCTGCGATGGGTCCGCTGCGGACAGCACCTCCTCCGTGTATTTCTGTGGGAGCCGCGGGGCAGGGTTGGGGACACGCCAGCAGAGGTGGAGAGCGGGGGGCTGGGGCACTGGGGTGCACGCGCGTTCACACATGCACACGCGCGCACTGCTCTCCTCCCCCGCCACCCGCACCCTGCCCCGCTGCACACACGCGCGTACACACACGCACACGCGCGCGCACCGCCCTCCTCCCCAGCACCCCTGGCCCGCTGTGTCACCATCTGAAGGGGAGCACGGGGCTCCGGGGGCTCTGCTTTTCTCTGTGAGCCGCGGGGCGTGGGCTGGGGGGCACCTTGTAGAAGTCCTGCACAGCCGTGCTGACCACCGCGGACTCGGCCTGCACGCGGCCCACCAGAAACTCCAGGTACTTCTCAAAGTCCTCCTGGTTCTTGATGAAGCACATGGCCACATCGTCATCTGTGTCACAGTTCTGCAGCTCCCGCTGGAAGCTGCAGTAGAGGACATGGTGGGCAGGGACGGGTGAGGCCTCAGATCTAGGACGGAACAGGCTAGCCCCAGGGCTGGGTTGCATGGCGACTTGGAACTGAGTGCGCTGGGCTGCGGGGGCTGTGGGTGTGTGTGGGGGGCATATGCATCTGTGTGCCTGCATGCAAGGAAGTGCAGGTTCATGCAGCCATGCCCACTCGTGCCCACACGTGCAGGAGTGTGCGTGTGAATGTGGGCATGCATGTGTGCGGCTGGCATGCATGTGCGCATACCCGCGGGCCCGCCCACCTGCTGTGGAAATGACTGATGTCCTGCACGTTGCGGAAGATGACTGCCTTCTGGCTGGCCACGGCCGTGGGCACGTGGGGGCATCGCTCCAGGTGCTGAATGTGGTGGTCCTGCAGGAACTGCAGCTTGCCCACAAAGGCCTGCTCGGAGCTCAGCAGCTCCTGGATGATGGAGCTGGGAGGGGATGAGGTGAGGAGAGACCCAAGGGCTAGTGAAGCCCCCCGCACAGCCTGCCCCCCGCTGTCAGAAAGAGCCTGGTAAAGTGGTGGAGAGAGGCACCCCCACCACCATCCCGCAACTGCCACCACAAAGCCGCTCACGCCCCCACCTGCCGGACCCTCACCTCAGCCTTGTCTTGTATTCATCCTCAGACACGGCCTCCCCCGGGAACTCGGGGGCCTCCGTGGGCCCCCACTCGGGTGACAGCTGGTGAGAAAATGGGGGAGGGTGGCAGGTGGCCTCGGCTCTGGCCTCACAGGGGACGACAATCCCAGGACCCCACCCCAGCCATCCAGTACCTTGAGCCGCTTGTCCAGGTAGGCAGGGGACACCCAGCCTTGCCTCGAGGGGCTGGACTTGGTGGGCTTGGTGCGCACAAGCCAGCGCAGTGGGTGGGCCGAGTCCAACACCTCCACGTACTGGCCCTCCCGCAGCAAGATGGCGTCCTGTTCGGCCCCCAGGGGCAGGTAGTCAGCAGTGACCACGTAGATATCGAAGATCTGGGGGCATGATGCTGACTCAGACTGGGGCGGGGGGCCAGCCTGACCCACGGAGGCCCCAACAGCCCCCAAAGACCCCAGAGGGGTGTGGGACCTGGACAGGAGCCAGCCTGACCTCCCAAAGCCCCAACAGCCCCCAAAGACCCCAGAGGGGCGGGGGACCCAGACAGGAGCCAGCCTGACCTCCCAAAGCCCCAACAGCCCCCAAAGACCCCAGAGGGGCGGGGGACCCAGACAGGAGCCAGCCTGACCTCCCAAAGCCCCAACAGCCCCCAAAGACATCAGAGAGGCAGGGGACCCGGACGGGGACCCAGCCAGGCCTCCCAAAGCCCCAACAGTCCCCAAAGACCCCAGAGGGGCAGGGGACCCAGATGGGGGGCCAGTGAGGCCTCCCAAAGCCTCAAGCATCCCCAAAGACCTCAGAAGGGCGGGGGACCCAGAGGGGGTGGGCAGCCTGAACTCCCAAAGCCCCAATAGCCCCCAAAGACCCCAGAGGGGCAGGGGACCCAGACAGGAGCCAGCCTGACCTCCCAAAGCCCCAACAGCCCCCAAAGACATCAGAGAGGCAGGGGACCCGGACGGGGGACCAGCCAGGCCTCCCAAAGCCCCAACAGCCCCCAAAGACCCCAGAGGGGCAGGGGACCCGGACGGGAGCCATCCAGGCCTCCAGAGACTAGAGGGTGCCTCGCATTAAGCTGGGGGAGAAGCCATCCTGAGATTCCATACAGTTCCAGAACAGCATCAACCATCTCTGCTCATGGAAACCCCACCAGGGGGTGGCAGTGAGACTGGCCACCGAGATGTGCGGCCCCCCACCAGTGCCCTACCCGCCCCTGCCAGGCAGAGCACCTCGCCTCGGGAGTCCCCATCCTCCGACTCCGAGGACGACTCCTGGACGCTGGAGGAGGGACGGGAACGGCCGTGCCAGGGGGATGCGGAGGGCGTCTTGGATTCCTCATCGCTGTCACCTCCAGGCACCTGCAGCTTGGCTGGGGGACACAGGACACATGATACATGATACCCAGGAAGGGCCTGCGCCCCGTCCCCTTCCCATGGGTGCCCAGGGTGTGGACAAAAGAGAGCCCCGCCTTTGCGCCGTGGCCACAGAGCCCTCACCCTGTGTGATCTTGGCCGACACGATCTCGGTGATCTGGGACGTGAGCTTCTGCAGGAACTCCTCTGTGCCCACCTCGGCCAGCGACAGGTGGCCACGGGCCTCCACCACCGTGGGCTCTGCTGGGGGCCAGAACCTAGCTCAGCTGGTCACGTGCCCCACAGACATGCCCAGACACCACCTCCAGGCCCCGTCCCGGGCTTGGGGGTCCACAGTGTCAAGGGAGGCACGGACTTGACACCATCACTGTGGGAAGCTTTGCAGGGTCAGGTTAAGAGCTCATGAGGGCTGCCTGGTGAGCAGGGGTCAGCCGAGAACTGACCCCAAAAGTGGGCAACCAGCAGGCGGAGCACACGGCACCCCCCTTCTCGCCTTCTGAACTCACAAATACCCCAGGGTGCGGGGAGGCCCTGTGTAGGTGGCAGACCCCGCTGGGGATGGGGGAGAATCCAGGACGGAGGAGGTCTCCATGGTGGCATGCCCAGCCCCTACCCCCCACCCTGCCCTCACCCAGCCCTCAGCGGCCACCTGCCTCCGGGCCGGGCATCCGCAGCCTGCTGGACCTGAGCTCTGAGCCAAGGGCCAGCGGGGCCCCCAGATCCACAAGGCTCAGAACCAGGCCCAGGGGAGGACAAGCAGCCATTTCTGGGGCCACACAGCCTGGGGCAGCCCCCTCCATGCCTCACCCTTGCACTAGGCCTTGTCGGCCCCCTCCCTGCGAGGTTGTGCTCCCACCCAGCCCGTACCTTTCCTCTGCCCGGCAAGATCAGCGAACCCCACAGGCTCCGACATCTGCGCGGACACAGCTTGGGTCCTAAAGGGGAGCGGTGTCCTGAGAGAGTGCCTCAGCCACGGCCCTCATTTCACAATGGGGACACTGAGGCATGGAGCGCCTGCTCCCCTGCACTCACCCCTGCAGGAAGCTGGAGATGAGGACCTCCTTCCCCCCAGCACGCTCGTCCGCCGCCCCCACCTCCTCGGGCACTGTTAGGAGAACGGGGTGAGCCACCAGGGTGACAGCCCACAGCCCTGAGCCACTTCTGCTTGGGACCTGGTCCAGGATGTCCCCGCCCCCAGGGGACCTTGACCCTGGCCCTCCGGAGCCTCCCGAGGGAGCGGGGCGGGACGGAGACACTCGGGGTGGCAGGGGGCCTTCAGGAGGGTCTCAGCCGGCCAAGCCAGCCTACAGGAAAGGGGATGGCAGCTGGCGGGGGCTCTGTGTTTGGGGTCCCCCCGCTCCGACTCACAGCCAGAGACGTGCAGGCTGGCGGAGCAGAGGGCCTGGCCGGCCGCGCTGGTGGCGATGCAGATGTAGGTGCCCTGATGCTGCCGGCCCACGTCCAGCAGGACCAGACTGTGTCGCTGGGCAGACCTGGCCACCGTGTAGCCCGGTGTGTCAGGACCGATCCACAGCACACCCCGCTCGGCCTCCTCCTGCAGCCAGTGCACAGCTGGGGCCGGGCAGCCTGCAGGACAGTCAAGGGTCCATGGGGAAGGTGGCTCCGGGAAATGGGGTGGCCTCTGAGCCCCCTGAGGGGCTGTGAGTGACACAGGGAGGGGCCTGCTCTGAGCCCCTCAGGGGAGGGGTCCTCACTGGGGGGCGGGGAGGGGCCTGCTCTGGGGCCCCTGGGGGAGGGGTCCTCACTGGGGGGTGGAGAGGGGCCTGCTCTGAGCCCCCCTGGGGGGGGCCCTTGCTGGGGGGTGGGGAGGGGCCTGATCTGAGGCCCCTGGGGGAGGGGTCCTTGCTGGGGTCAGGGAGGGGCCTGTTCTGAGCCCCCCTGGGGGAGGGGTCCTTGGTGGGGGGCAGAGAACGGCCTGCTCTGAGGTCCCTGGGGGAGGGATCCTTGCTAGGGGGCGGGGAGGGGCCTGCTCTGAGCCCCCCTGGGGGAAGGGTCCTTGCTGGGGGTTAAGGAGGGACCTGCTCTGAGCCCCCTGGGGGAGAGTCTTTGCTGGGGGGCGGGGAGGGGCCTGCTCTGAGGTCCCTGGAGGAGGATCCTTGTTGGGGGGTGGGGAGGGGTCTGCTCTGAGGTCCCTGGGGGAGGGTCTTTGCTGGGGGGTGCAGAGGGGCCTGCTCTGGGGTCCCTGGAGGAGGGTCCTTGGTGGGGGGCGGGGAGGGGTCCGCTCTGAAGTCCCTGGGGGAGGGGTCCTTGGTTGGGGGGGGAGGTAGGAGAGCCTTACCTTCCACCTTCACTGAGAAGGTGATGCTGGAGCCTTTGTTCACCTTCTTGGAAGCGAATCTTTCCAGGAATCGGGGTGGCACCAGCTGTTGGTGTGCATCTGGACAAACAGCAGACACCGGTGATGAACGCATGTTGAGCCCCTGCTCCCTGTTGGGGCACCAAGGCCTCCAGGGGCACCTGCTGCAGCCCCAGTCCCCAGGTCCCAGCCTCATGCACCTGGAGGCTGGGTCTCTACAGCCTGCACCCAACCCTCCTCGGTCTGCAGGGTGGTGTCCCGCAGGCACTGTGGCTGAACCTCCCACCCATCCGAGTTGGCTCACCTGGGGCTGGCTTCTCTTCAGGATCTTTGGGGCCTGAAAGAGCAGGAAGTGGAATCAGGCCTGCAGCACTGAGGGGCCTGTCTCCCCAGAGCCCGTGCACCTGCCGAGGGTGGGGGTACCCACTCCTATCCACACCTTCCCTGAGACTCAGGCCATGCAGGGAGCTCACACTGAGGCTGCTCAGACCCAGTGTGATGCCCCACCACCCCACTGCGCCAGGAGTGTGGGGGTCGCTCTGGCACCGATGCAAGGTCGCATGAAGGTCAGAGGGAAGCCTGGGCAGCGCTGGGTCCCTCAGCCACTGCCGGCTCAGGTGGTGATGCTCAGAACTTTGGAGAACAAGTAAGTGCAGACGTCTCCTCCCACAGTAATCACTGACCTCTTCCTCTGCACAGTCTGCTGACTAACCCGTGCCCCCCACCCATCCTGGGGCACGTGTATGGAGGCGGGGGGTGTGGCAGATGGCGGCCCAGGTGTAGATGCTCCGTCCCCAGCACCCACCCCGGACCAGCAGCCTAGCGGACGAGTAGGCGGCGCCCGTGGTGTTGCTGATGTAGGCTGAGTACTGGCCAGCGTCCTCACTGGTGACTGACAAGACCTCCAGGGTGTGAAGTGTCTTCCTGTCAACCATGCGGATGTGCTCAGAAGCCGTCAGAGGCTGCCCGTCTTTGAACCAGTACAGTCGGGGTGTAGGGTAGCCTGCAGCCACAGGGCAGTGGTCAGCACCGAGCCTCCGTCCCATGGGGGCACCAGTGACGGCCCAACCTCCACCTGGCCAGCTCTCTCTTCCTTACCTTTCACCTTGAGCTGGAATTTGGCCAGCCGTGTGCCGGGGGCCACCTGGAGGTCCTTCAGCTCCTCCACCACCTGGGGCAGCTGACCCTCCTCTGAGGTAGATTCCATGCCCTCTTGCTCCCGGCTGGCGGGGAGGACAGAGAAGGGGCAGTGAGGTGGACCAGGGAGGGGTCCAGCGCCTGGGGGGGTCAGGGGCGGTGAGGTGGGCCGGAGAGGGGTCCAGCGCCTGGGGGGTCAGGGGCAGTGAGGTGGGCCAGGGAGGGGTCTAGTACCTGGGAGGGGGTCAGGGGAAGTGAGGTGGGCCAGGGAGGGGTCCAGTACCTGGGGGGGGGGTCAGGGGCAGTGAGGTGGACCAGGGAGGGGTCCAATGCCTGGGGGGTCAGGGGCAGTGAGGTGGACTGGGGAGGGGTCCAGCGCCTGGGGGGGTCAGGGGCAGTGAGGTGGACCAGGGAGGGGTCCAGTGCCTGGGGGGGGCCAGGTCAGGCATGGATGGCTTTGGAGGATCCTCATGAGCTGGACAGACACTATGGGGCCTGGTGGAGAGCTCCAGGATTCAGATTCTGTCGGTCCCAGCCAGCACTGCCACCCACTGGGGCCTGCACCACCAGCCCACTGGGTGCTGCCTGCCTGTGCATGGCCCTCTACCTGGACAGGTAGCCCTGGGCGCTGAAGTAGGAGGAGGTCTCCGTGGCATCAGCTGCAGTTTCGTAGTCTGTGCTGGTCACTGGGAAAGGAAGAGTGGCCGCCATGAGGCTTGTGCCCCACCTGCCCAAGCACGGCCCCACACCAGGGGCCAGCCACCCGGCTCTCATTGCAAGATCAGCCCTGGGAGCCACGCACACTCCTGGGGCAGAAGCCTCGGGGGACCTGGCTGTCCACTGGCCCTTAACACCCCAGGCTGTCACCCACAAGCCCATGCTTCCAGAAGTAACTGCAACCTCAACCACTGGTCAACTCTGGTGATTCTGGGCCTCATGAAGGGGCTGCGTCATCCAGTTTTACCCACTAGGGGACAAGAGGGTGACGCATGCAGGCCTCAAAACCAGCAGCTGGGGGCTTCCACATCCAGCCACGAAGGAGGAACAGGAACTGGACCTATTCTCTGCCAGCGGTGGGATGTTCCTGTCCTCCCCCCAAATTCATATGTGAAAATCCCAACCCCAATGTGTGGGTGTCAGGAGCGGGGCCTCTGGGAGGTAATCAGGGTTAGAGGAGTGCCCTGACAAGGAGCAACCCCCCGCGAGGACACCGTGAGAATACCGCGTCTGCAGCTCAGAAGAGGGCCTCGCTGGAACCCAAGCAGGGCCACCCTGACCTCAGATGCAAGCCTCCAGTGAAGCCTCCAGAACCCCGAGCAGTAACAACCTTCTGTTGTTTCAGCCACCTGCTCCGTGGCACTTGTTAGTGCAGCCTGGACCCAGACACCCTCCCCCACCCTCACCGTGCTGTGCCCCTGCACGAAGTACAACAGTTGTGAGAGTGTGATTTCTATAAGAAGCATGTTCTTGGTCTTTGTCACTGCTCCTGGCACTGAGCTCCAAAGCCCTTGGAGTTTCCCATGTGAGGACAGCAATGACAGTGTCTTTTGTTATGTAATGAGGTCACTCTGGAAAGCCCCTCAGGGTGGGGGCTGGTGACCAGGGGACCCAACCCTGGGACCAAATGGTTAGAAGTTCCAGTCCCACCCCCTGACCTCAAGGAGGGGAGAAGGAATCAACCACCAATCACCAATGGCCCATGAGTCCATCAATCATGCCCACGTACTGAAGCCCCCATAAAAACCCACAAGGTCAGGCTTGGAAAGCTTCTGGGCTGGTGACCACGTAGACATGTGGGGAGAAGCTCCACGCCCCTCCCCCAGTGCCTTGCCCCGTCTGTCTCTTCCATCTGGCTACTTCTGAGTTATATCCTTTTATAATAAACTGGTAACGTAGGAAGGAGAATGTTTCTCTGAGCTCTGTGAGCCGCTCCAGCAAGTTAATGGAACCCGAGGAGGGGGCCGTGGGAACCTCGGATCTGTAGCCAGCGGGTCAGAGCACTGTGGACCCCTGGACTTGTGACTGGCATCTGCAGTGAGGGGGTCTGTGGGCCTGAACCCCGAACCTGATGCTGACTCCACGTGGGTCTGATGCTGACTGATGCTGACTCCACATGGGTCTGATACTGACTCTATGTGGGTCTGATGCTGACTCCATATGGGTCTGCTGCTGACTGATGCTCACTCCACGCAGGTCTGATGCTGACTCCATGCAAGTCTGATGCTGACTCCACATGGGTCTGATGCTGACTCCACGTGGGTCTGATGCTGAGTCCACACGGGTCTGATGCTGACTCCACGCGGGTCTGATGCTGACTCCACGTGGGTCTGATGCTGACTGATGCTCACTCCACGTGGGTCTGATGCTGAGTCCACACGGGTCTGATGCTGACTCCATGCGGGTCTGATGCTGACTCCACGTGGGTCTGATGCTAAGTCCACGTGGGTCTGATGCTAAGTCCACGTGGGTCTGGTGCTGAGTCCACGCGGGTCTGATGCTGACTCCATGCGGGTCTGATGCTGAGTCCACATGGATCTGATGCTCACTCCACGTGGGTCTGATGCTGAGTCCACATGGGTCTGATGCTGACTGATGCTCACTTCACGTGGGTCTGATGCTGACTCCACATGGGTCTGATGCTGACTGATGCTCACTCCACGTGGGTCTGATGCTGACTGATGCTCACTCCACGCGGGTCTGATGCTGACTCCACGTGGGTCTGGTGCTGACTCCACGCGGTCTGATGCTGACTCCACGCGGGTCTGGTGATGACTCCATGCGGGTCTGGTGCTGACTCCACGTGGATCTGATGCTGACTGATGCTCACTCCACGTGGGTCTGATGCTGACTGATGCTCACTCCATGCGGGTCTGATGCTGACTCCACGTGGGTCTGGTGCTGACTCCACGCGGTCTGATGCTGACTCCACGCGGGTCTGGTGCTGACTCCACGTGGGTCTGGTGCTGACTCCACGCGGGTCTGATGCTAAGTCCACGTGGATCTGATGCTGACTCCACGTGAGTCTGATGCTGAGTCCATGTGGATCTGATGCTGAGTCCATGTGGACAGGTTCAGAGGTAAGTTCATTGTAGAAACTCCAGCTGGCATCAGAGAATTTCTTGTTGAACGCTTACAGACTGGAAACAACGAGTTCTGTGATTGCCCCAACTTCCTGCCTTGAGTTTCCAGCTCCAGGAGGGGAATCTGAGGCCGAGCCAGGTAGACCCTGAGTGGAGGAGCTGGCATACTGGGAGATGAAGACTGCTGGTGTTCACAGGATGGAAGCCAGAGAAGAGAGAGGGCAGAGCACTGACTAGCATGTGCACAGGGTGGGGACGAGCCATCTGAGGGGTCCATCAAAACAGTGGGGAGGATGCTGTTTCCAGTCGGACTGGGAACTTCCCCACCCTGTGGCTTCCGGTCCTCAGGAAGGGGGATCAGCCCTCAGCAGAGGGAGGAGATAGGCCCTGGATGGAGCTCTGCCAGCCCCCCACCTCAGAGGAAGACCTCAAGAAGATCTGCAAAAATACAAAGTCTCCAGCTGCCACATGGGCAGGCATCCCGTCAAGGACATCCAGATTCACATGGAGGCAGGAAAACAGCCCCCAGTGGGTCAAAACCAAGCCAGGACGGATGCACATGGAAGTGGCAGACAAGGTCATCAAAGCAGGTATTAGAACTGTATAACCGAGACCCAGCGCACGTGAAAAAAGATTCCAGTAGCACTTGTTGAGACAGACGGTACACTGATAGGCCTGATGGCAGGGTAGTGACTTCAGAAGGACAGCGAAAGTTGGAGGATAGTGGGACAAACAATGTGGGGAAATGGAACTCAAACCAAGAGCTGCACATGAAGAGAGTCAGCGCGTGGTCGCGCTGCTGCACGCGGCTTCTCGTGCCTGTGACTGCAGTCCCCAGACGAGCGGGGAAGGAAAGAGACTTGAGGAAATCACAGCTAAAAACACTTCCAAGCTTCATGAAAATTAGAAACCCCGAATCCTGAGAAGCTCCGTGAACAGCAAGCACGCAGGAATATAAAGAAAAGTGCACCCAAGAACAGCACAGTCAGATGCCTCGAAACCAGTGAAAAGAAGGAAATCCTAAAAAATACCCAGAGACCATTTTTGAGGAAAATGACAAACTGGTCCTCAAAGTCATAAAACTCAAGGGACCCAGATGCTCTGAACGAGAGTGAAGCTGGAGGACTCACATGTCCAGATTTCAAAACTGACTACGAAGCTACAGCAATCAAGACAGTGTGGTGTTGCCAGGATGACAGATGTACAGATCAACAGGACAGTTAGAAGCCCAGAAATAAACCCATACGTGTCATGGAAGTCAGTTTTTGACAGGAGTTCCACACAATTTTACAGAGGAAGATAGTCTTTTCTGTGAACGGTGCTGGAATAACTACATTTCCACCAGACAAGAATGAATTTGGGTCCTTACCTCACACCATATACCAAAACTAAACCTACACGTAAGAGCTGAACTATAAAACTCTTAGAAGAAAACAGTGTTGTACATCTTTATAATGTCAGATTAGGCAGAAAAGGCAAAGCCACAGAGATGGGAGAGTAGCTCATCAGTGTCCAGGGGCTGGGGGAGGCAGGGTGGGACAGAGCGTGGCTCAGCAGTCCCACTTTTAAATCCCAGGGGAAAGGGCTAGCTTTGCACAGAGAAACAAAGATAGGAATGGCACCATATTTCTCAGTGGAAACCATCCAAGCTAGTAAATAGGGGAGCAGCACCTTCAAGGTATGAGAAGAAAAAAGAATCGTCCTAGTAAAAATATCTTTCAGAGCCACAGGAGAAATACAGACTTTTTCTCAGACATGCAAAAGCTAAGAGAATTCTAGCATTCCCAGACGACAGGGAAAATGTGGAAAGATGACCCTCAGGCAGAAGGACAGCGATGCCAGAAATCTAGATCTCCGCAGCAGGATGGACTAGCTCCTGCTTTGGTGAATCTACACAATTCTGCCTAGGTCACGCTAACCGACTTGCGGACAGCTGTGCTGTGGATACGGCCGTGGCCGTGGCCCTGCATCTTGCTCATGTCTGCTCAACGACCTCTCGCGGGGCTGGCCGCCCATGAATCCGTTTGGGAGAACAGTCCTTCCCAGACCCCACCTACTCTTCGGTCTCAGCTCTGACACCTGCTTTTCCAGAGACAGCGTCCCACGTTGCATTCCCATGTCTCTGATCCACGCCAGCACGGCGGATGATCCCTACTGATGAAGTTACCATCCTGCTGAGTGCATGCGACATCTCGCTGGGGCTCCATTAGCATTGCCCCCATGGCTAACATCCTCCAGGTGCCTCAGCCTTCGGCAAGTCCTCCCCCGTGAAGCGTCTGGACACATCCATTGCTCTGGTTCCAAGTGGATTTTTAATTTTTTTTATCTGTTTACTGTTGAGCATTCTTTATGTTGTTTTAAGATAAAGTTCTTTACTTAGATACCTGGTTTGCAGATACCTTCTCCTGCCATGTAGTCTCTCCACATGGGGTCTTTCTCAGAGCAGAAGTTCCTAAGTTTTACCAATTTTCCCTTTTATGGGTGTTGCTTTAGTTGTCAAATCTAAGAAGTCTTTTCTGGCCATAGGTCCTAAAAATTTCCTCCTATCTTTTTTTCTGAAAGTTTCATAGTTTTGTATTTTCTATTTACGTACATAATCCATTTTGAGCTCATTTTTGTATGAGGTCAAGGTCTAATCTTTTGGCCATAAATAACCCAATTACTCCAGCATGACTTGAGATTCTATCCTTGAATCCGAAATTCTACCCTTCCTCCACTTAAACGCTCTCGCACTTTTCTCAAAGATCAGATGGACCTACTCGTCCTGAGGCCCACCAGGAGTCACTGCATTAGAATAAAACACACCTCCTGTCCCCTTGTCACTCGGGGAGACTTCCGGTGACTTGGGAACCGTGTGCTGGGAATGAAGGACGACCAAATCCATATTTCTTAATGCACACAGCTAACCTCCACACGTGCCTGGGGCACCTGTGACCTTTCCCAGGCCCCCCTGCAGCCTAGACACCACCCAAGGAGATGGACCCCCACCCCCAACCTGGCCCCAATCCTCCAGTGTTGTCTGGGTCCTTCTGCAACCCAGCACCGCCCCCGCCCAGCTCGGGCACTGGGGCCATCAAACCCGGATCCCCACGCTCACGGTCTACACGGAGCTCTGCCTTCGTAGAGGACACGCCGACACTGTTCTCAGCCATGCAGCGGTAGACGCCCATGTCTGCCGGCACCACGGCTGTGATGATGAGCTGGTGGCCGCCCTGCTGGTCCTCACTGATCATGTAGTGGTCATCCTCCTCCAGCATCCTTCCATCCTTGAACCAGCACACGGTGGGCACGGGCTGGCCTGTCACCACGCAGTCGAAGCTCACGGGGTAGCCGTCCAGCACCTCCTGATCCTGCAGCCCAGTCAGGAACACGGGGGCTGGGAGGGACAAGCGGGGTGTGCAGTGCTTGGGCCCCAGGTCTCTCCCCCAGTCACCCCAGCGGCTCAGCGTGCATCATCTGCTCCCACTGAGGTGGGGGGGCGCTCGCGGGTGCCTGGGCCAAACACAGCTCTGTCTCTGCTCGCCTAGGTCCAAGCCCCCGAGAGGCCAGAGGGATTGTGGACAGGAAACAGGGGGGAGGGGGAGCTAAGGGGGGACAAACGCTGTGTGGGCTGAGGGTCCAAGGGTTGCAAGGATGAGAATGGCCCAACATCGCACAGGGCGGTCCCCAGACATGACGCCATGGGTTATTTGCTAGACCCCTCGTTGTCCCTAGGGATACGCAGGCCAACAGTGCAATGGCTCTAAAATTAACCTTAGTTGCTGGAGCAGGTGATGGGGGCCGTGGAACCCCCCTTTCATAGCAGTTGTATCCCAAACCCTCACGGAGCAAAAAACACAAACTCTGGAAAGTCAGTATCCTATACCCACTTCACAGAGGAGGACACTGAGGCCCAGAGAGGCTAGCTCACAACAGGCAGCTGGGATTGCCATCGAGCTCTGTCTGTCCCCAAATTCGGGGCTCTTCCAGCTCAGTGGGCTGCATCTGCAGTGGCCAGAGGCTGGAGCCCAGCCAGCTCGCTGAGTCTTCACCTGACGCAGGTCACCTTGGCTGGCCCTGCTCCTCCTCCTCCCTCCCCGCCACCCCCCCACCCCCAGCCGCGGGCAGCAGGCAGACTCACCAGCCTCTGCAGTCTGTGGGCGGGGCACCATCTCCTGAGGCGTGGCAGGGGCGGGACCCATCTTGCTAATGCGCATCTCCACCCCCCGGGGCCCCTGCTCCAACAGGCTGATGTCCACCCCGATGCCCATGGTGCCAAACATCTCCCGGAAGCAGGTGGCCGCACGGTGGGACTCGGCAAGTGACTCGAAGCGGATGTAGACGAAGTGCTCATCTTCGTGGTACGTCTGCCAGTCCCCAGGATCCTCGGGCTGTGCTGAGCCCTCATCTGCACTGAGGAAGATCTCTTCCTCTGAAACCTCAGCCGGGCTCTTGGTGCAGAAGAGGCGGTGCAGCCTCCGGGCCGCCCGGCGAAAGCCGTCGTCCAGCTCTCCCCCCGAGGAGCTCTCTGCCTCGCTTTCGGTCCCGCTGACCACCACACAAGCGCTGTGGGCCACGTGGCCAAACTTGCTGCTCACCTGACAGGTGTAGTGGCCGGCGTCGGCCCGGCCCAGGCCCGTGACCAGCAGGGAGCAGGTGCCATCTGCGAGCTGGTCAATGTGGTGGTGCCGGCCATCTGTCAGCTCCACGCCATCCTTCAGCCAGCGAGCACGCACATCCACCTTGCTGGACACCACACACTCCAGACGCAGGACATCCCCCACCTGTGCCTCTGTATCCCCAAACGTGCGGGAGAACACAGGTCCCTCCTGCTGCTTCATCTCCTTGCGGACCTTGTAGCCCTTGAAGGCAGCCTGGATCTTCACGGCTGCCTTGTCCATGGACGGGTCACTCAAATCTCCCGGTGGTGGGCAAACAGCAGCTGGCTGCTCCTGATGCTTCTGTGGCTTCCCAGGTGGGACTGTGGGAACCCCAACCTGTGCACACAGGGAAGGTAGGGAAACTGAGGCCCGTGACAGGAAAAGCACAGTGCAGGGACAGCTGGGGCAGGGCTGGAAGCAAAGCGCAGGTCTCCCGCCCCAGCTCCAGGTCATCATGCCCCTCTGTTTCCTGCCCACCTGCAGCTGCTCAGCCTTTGCGTGCCTGATGGCTCCTGGTGCTGCCGAGAGGCAAGCCCGCTCCCTGAAATCACTCTAAGTGGTCACCCAGACAGAGACTGGCAGGTTGTGAGACACAGCCGGGCGGATGGGTGAATGGGTGGATGGTGGATGGATGGGTGGTGGATGGGTGAGTAGTGGATGTGTGGGTAGGTGGGTGGTGGATGTTGGGTGGTGGATGAGTAGATGGTAGACGGGTGAGTGAAAGGCGGATGGGTGGGTCGATAGGTGGGTGGTAGATGGGTGGATGGTGGATGAATGTGTGGTAGATGGAGACAGATGGTGAGTGGGTGAAAGATGAATGGGTGAGTGAGTGGTAGATGGGTGGGTGGTATGTGGGTGAATGGGTGGGCAGGTGATGGATGGATGGGTTAGTGGTGGGTGGGTGGGTGAATGGATGGGTGAATGGTGGATGGATGGATGGATGGATGGGTGGTAAATGGGTGGGTGAATGGTGGATGGTGGATGGGTGGGTGGGTGGATAGTGGATGGATGGGTGAGTGGTGGATAGGCGGGTGGGTGGGCGGGTGGTGGATGAGTAGATGGTAGATGGGTGAGTGAATGGTGGTGGATGGGTGGGTTGATAGGTGGGTGTTAGATGGATGGGTGGCTGTATCAGTGGGTAGCAAAGGACAGATGATGGAGCAATGAGTGGGGGGAGGGTGGACGGGTGGTGGAGATCTGAGACATCCAGGCCTCTCCTTGTAGGCCACACTGGACACTCACCTTGCTGACCAGTGGTGAGGTGCTGGGCCGCCCAGCCTTCTTGAGGTAGGTAACCAGGGAAGGAGTGCCTGCCCGGGACTCGTCATCAGAGCTGGTGTGTGAGAGGTCAGCCTCGCCGGAACGTGCCAGCTCATCAGCTGTGGAGTAGTCCTCAGAGAGGTCACGGGCTGCTTCCTCTGGCTCATGCTGCAGGTGCTGCGAGCGACCGTCCTCCTCGGGGAGCTCACTGATGGAGTCCAGCGTGGGCTCACGGCTCATGCGGCGCTTCCGGGCCAGGGCCTCCCACAGCAGGTGCAGGTCACCCTCCTGGGCTGCCTCAGGGGGGAGGCTGGGCTGCGCAGGGGCCTCATCCCCAGATCCTGGGGTCAGCACCACTGAGAAGGACAGGAGATGGTCAGCAGGTGGGTGGGGGTTGACAAACCCTTGACCCCAGGCTGGCCTAAGCTCTGACTGTGGTTCCCCTCAGTAGACCAAAGAGCTCTGAAGGTCCCCAACAAATGAGGTTTTAGAGGTTCTGAACTGCCTTGTCAGCCTCAGCTTCCCCTGATGAAGCCAGACCTCAACCTACATCGAGCACCCACAGAGAAGGAGTGAGCCCAAGGATAGGGCCAGAGTCAGTGCAAGTGCTGGGGGGCTCATAGTGTGAGGGGGTTCAGAGCACAGGGGGAAGGGGGTCAGAGTTGGGCTCAGAGTGCAGGGAGGAGGGGGTCAGAGTGGGGAGACTGGTGGTGGGAGGGATTTATAATGTGGGGGGCTCGAGCACAGAGGGGAGAGGATCAGAATGGGGATGGTCATAATGGGTGGGGCTCAAAGCACAGGGCGTGGGGCGCCTTATAGTGTGGGGGCATGAGTTCGGGGGAAGTGATTCAGAGTGGGGGCTCGCAGGGTGGGGTCTGAGCACAGAGTGGGGGCACTCAGAAGGCAGGGCGGAGGAGACTCAGAGGGCAGGGGCCAGAGAGCTCAAGGAACCAGTAGTGGTACCAAGGGATGTGTTGGTCAGCGTCCTGCTCGGGGACCAGTGTGACGTGAGCTGCCAGCCATCTGAAGAAGCCAAGCCACAGGGCCCCACCAGGCCTCAGTCTTGAGGCCGGCTCCCCAAGAGGACCCCTGCCTGTCTGCGCTGCAGCTGATGACGACGAGGGGCCGGCTCACTCCTACACCCCAGGGCTCTCCCGCTTTCGCTGGGTCCCGAGGACGCACCCTGGAAGGAGGCAGCTGCAGAGGAGATGGGGTCCTGGGCGTGGCGGCAGTGGTACTCGCCCTGGTCCTCCTCGGAGAAGCCCCGGATGACCAGCGTCTGCCGCTCAGCCCGGCAGAGAACCTGGAAGCGCCCGCTCGGTTGGATGAGCTCCGTGCCCTTCAGCCAGACGACCTCGCCCGCCTCGGCCACCTCGCACTCCAGACACACGTCCTCACCGGCAGCCACCTGCCGGCTCTCGGGAGCTGGGGTCGCGGGAGCGGGGGTCGCGGGAGCAGGAGGGGGAGGGGTGGGAGCCGGGGGCGCGGGAGCTGGGGCCACAGGCTCAGGCTCCTGGGGCTCTGCGGGGAACAACGCCACTTCAGCGAGGCATGCCCGGGGCCCTCCAGCCTGGAGAGCACTCTGGGCAGACCTCACCCTCACCAAGCGTGGGGAGTGCAGCGCCTCACCGAGCCTCACTGTCTGCGGCAGGTGCACCGGCTCCCCGGCCCCCGCTGGGCCTACAGCCGCCACGCGGAAGCGGTACGTCTCTCCGGGGGCCAGGCCGTCCACCACGCACTCGGGCCCAGGCACCAGTTCGTGGCACAGCCGCCACTCACCCGTGGCGGCCGCCTTCAACTCCACCCGATAGCCGCAGAGACCGCCACCGCCGTCACTTGCAGGGGCCACCCAGGACAGTGTCACGGAGCGGCCGCTTCGTGCCACCACCTCAGCATCCTCTGGGGGGTCCGGGAGGCCTGCAGGGAAAGGGGCTGATCAGTGGAGGCTCTCCGTTGGCGCCCGCGCGTGCCCAGCCTGCCTGCTTGGGGTCTGATCCTAGGGTGCGGAGTGGGCACCAGGCCGTCCGCCCCCAAGGCCAGTGAGCCACTGCGCTCTGGGCCCAGCCCCTCTGAGAGAGCAAAGGGAGACTGTGTTCCCCGAGCCCACCCGGACGGGGGCCACGGAGAGACCCCAGCAGCCTCTGGGACTGGACAGCAGAGCCCTAGCCCCGACCTGCAGCAGGCGGCCCGAGCCACCCACCCAACACGGTGAGCTGCGCGGAGGCCACGGCATCGCGGGCGGCGAAGGTGACCTCGCCAGCGTGGTGCGGCTGGGCAGCGCGCAGCAGCAAGGTGTGGTGGCTGCCATCCGCGGTGACCATCCAGTCGGGGTCGTCCGGCTGCACAGCGGCCCCATTGATGTACCAGGTTGCCTCGCCTACCGGCACCGCCTCGCTGAGCGTGCAGCCAAAGCTGGCCCGCCCACCGGCTCGCACCGTGGCGTCCTGCGGTGGCTCCAGCACGTCCAGGCGCCAGCCTGTGGGCGGGGGCGGTGCGGTGAGCGCCCGGGCGCAGGGCCAGCCTGGAAGCACGGCTGGTAGACCTCTGTGCCTCCAGGTCCCTCCAGCCCCGCCCCCCGCCCCCTGGCAGAGGAGGAGACCAGACCGCCGCCCTGCACCTCCACGGCGCGGGGTCCTGTGGGATCTGAGACCTGGCCCCACCCTGCGGCCCCAGCCCGCCCCCTCCACACAGCTGTGGCGCGGCAGCGGTGGGAGGGGTCTCAGACACACGCCCTTCCCCCCCAGCCCTAACCTCTGACTGTGAGGAACGCGGATGTCACCACACCCCCCGCCAGGAAGGTCACCCGGCAGGTGTCCTGCAGCCGCAGGTTCTTAAGTAGAAGCAGGTGCCGCAGGCCATTCTCCAAGTACACCACCTCCGCGTTCTCGGAGGTGTGCACGGGCTCGTCGTCCCGCAGCCAGGTGTGGTCGGCCACCTCGGGGTGCGACAGCCAGCACTCAAACAGCGCCTCGCCGCCTTCCACGGCGTCCACGTTCTCCAAGCCGCGCACCACGCTGTTCTTGGCTGCGGGGAAGGAGGCCACTCAGGGATCCCTGCACATCCCCGTGGGAGAACCTCCCCCTCATTGCACAGGGCCCGAGGGCTGAACAGAACGCGGCCTAGTGGAGGATAGCGCACAGTGTCCACGTGGGGTCACCATGGGGGCCTCCTGACGCCCTGCCCACTCCCACACCATCACTGCTCTGGTGGCCTTCGCTCGTGGCCAGGGAGGGGGGTGCTCCACACCAGGCAGGTGAGAAGCCTCCCAGGTGGTCCCAAAGCTGCCTGACGCACAGCCAGGCTCAAACCCCCACCCCTCCCCCACCCCAGGCTGCATGTGGGGCTCAGGAAATGCCCCCCCTTTCTTCCCATTCCCGGCCAGAGCTATCAGCCATGCTGAGCTGCTCCCCTCACTCCCCAGACCAGACAGACCTCTGCCCTAAATCCCCACCCCTCTCTCGTTCTCTCGTGCACACATGACACCAGTCTTAATAAGTGCACACGAGTTTGTGTGTGTGTGAGCCGCGAGCTCAGGACTGGGCATGCCTGGCCCCAACTCCAGCCCAGCGCCTGGCTGCACTGCTTGTCTCCTGCCACGGCCCATTCCCATGACACACCACCTGTTGGGCAGGTGATGCCCGTAGGAACAGTCTGAGTGGGCTTCTAGGAGGAGGAGGAACCTCAGAATGGGCATGACTGAGCTGGGCAGGAGCAGTGACAAGAAGGGACCCCAGGATGGGAAGGAAGGAGGGATTCGTGAGGGGCAGTGGGGACTTGGCCAGCAGAGTAAGGGATGCAAGGCGCCAGGTGGGGTCCTGGGAGGGGGGGTGCATGTCAGGCCGGAAAGGAACGCCAGGTGAGCCAGGGCTGGCCTGGATGCTGGGAAGGGTGTGACCGTGACCCACATGACTTTGGACGCCGACCTGAGGGATGGGGGGTAGGGGCAGCCAGGCGCATGGCCCCAACTGCTCTCTGGGGTACACACCCAAATGAAACCTGTTCACAGCCCTCGTGCTCAATCCCAGCTTGTCCAGGGTCCATGTGCCCTGCAGGCAAGGGTGCCCGCTCTGGACAAGGAGCCCCAGGGAGTGAAAGGGGCAGGGCAGAGTACCCAGAGGACCTGTCCATGTCCTTCTTCTGGTCACCTTCCCGGCCCCGGGCTGCTCGCCCCACAGACCAGACATCCCCACAGCCCGGCCCCTTTCTTCCCCACATCAGAGTCAGCGGCCCCAGCGGGGGCTTAGAAGTGCATCCCCATCTCCACTGTGCTCAGATGGCCAGGTGGGGGCTGCTCTTAATCCTGGGGAGGAGCAGGGGGACCAAGGGGAAGGCCAAGCCTGGAGTCACTGCTGGTGCTCAGCACCCTTCCTTCCCATCCCCGATGTCCCTGCTGCTTTGTTTTGCTAAAATCCCAGACTTCCCTGAGCGCTCGCCGGCCCTCTCCTGCCTCTCCAAGCTCCCTTGTCCGTGCCAAAGCCCTCACACCCCAGCCCCACTCCCACCTCCCTCAGGCCTGGGCTCACCTCCCCGTAGCCGTTAGCAGCGATCACCCCTGCCTTCAGCCCCCACAGCAATGGCCCCTGCACAGAGGGCTTGCTGTCTGTTCAGAGCTGTGCCCCCAGCGACCAAAAACACAGCGTTTTAACAACTCAGTTCTTTCAAGAGTGAAGCGGTGGGAGTGCCACACGGCAGGTGGCCCCCTGACCGCTGCCTGCAGCCTCCAGCTCACTCACCATGGGGAGGGGTTCAGATTTTCCCAAATAGGACGTGGCAGCGGCCAAGAGATGCCCCCCCGACAGAGGCTGCCGTCCACCGCCCCCCACCCCTGGTTCCCAGGGAGTGTCCTTGCTGTGCCACAGACGGGGACACAGGGCTCGAGAGCCCGCTGGGCGGCTGGCCTGGACAGGAGCGTGGCTAAGATCCCGGGACTCGAGGAGCTCAGCCCAGCACCCCGTCCTGTCCTGCCAGGCTGCTCTGGAAGCAGAGGGGGTCTGCACGCCGGACCCTGTCTTTGTGGCAGGGTCACATGGCCACAGGGCGCTGGCTGTCCCCACCTGCCTCTGCACCATGCAGGACGGTCCCAGCCACGCTGGAGCCGGGCAGGCCTCACCTTGCACATGCAGCAGGGCCGCCACGCGGGTGCCTGCAGCCTCACAAGAATAGATGCCACTGTCGCAAGGCAAGGCCGGCTGGAAGGACAGCCTGGCCACGGTCCAGTCCTGCTCTATGATGACACGGCGCCCGTCGGCCCGCACCTCCTGCTCGTCCATCTTCCACGTGGCCTGCACCGGCCGCGAATACTGGCAGAGGAGCTCAGCCCGGCCGCCCTCCTCCACCACCAGGTCCTGCATGGCACTGACCACCTCCACCGCGGGATCTGTCGGCCGACACCCCGGTCCCGCGTCAGCTGGGGCCACGCGGCTGCACCCCACCCGCCCTCTGGTCTCAGCGGCTCAGCAGCAAGCAAGCGTGGGGCTGTGGCGGGAGAGGCACCTGTCACGGCGGCCCGGGGCCCTCTTCGCAGGGCAAGCCTTGCCCCCCACACCACCACCCACGGAGGACGGCACTGTCGGCTCGGCCTCGTCGGGGCTAGGCCCTTCCTCACCCGCCTTGTCCCCTAAGCCCCTGCCTCCCTCCCCACCCCCTGGCTCAGGGCATACTTTGCCTCAGCAGGGACACGACACCCGTCCTCAAAGCCCCCAGGCCTCTGCTGGGCACGTGGCACCCCCAGCCCAGCTTGTCCCTTCTCCAGGGGCCTCGCCAACCTCCTTGGGGTCCCCACCCCATCTTGGCCTGCTGACATCCTACTCAACAAATGGGGCACCCCTGGGATGCTGGTGAATGTGCACGTTAATTCTGCAGAAGCACAGAGGAGGACCAGGGTGCCAGGCGAAGCCTTGCTGGCCAGTCGTCCCAGGAGTGCCTGACCCCCCCCACCGGTGTCCCTCCCCAAAGGCTAGCTCTCTCCTGGAAGGGCACAAGACCTCAGCTGAGCCCGCAGCAAGGGAAGCAGCTGTGGGCAGGGACAGTGCCGCCTCGGCCAGCTCTGGGAAGGGGACTCTCGCCTCCCAGCTGCCCTCAGGTGCTCCACAGGATGGTGGCCCAGGCAGGAAGCAGGGCGTGGCCCTACAGGTGTGGGGGGGTGGGCTTGCAGCTTCACCACTCTCTTCCACAAATCAGGATGGCAGACCTCCCACTGTGCCTGCCCCGTCCGTGTCCTGGGGCCAGCCCCAGACCCACCGCCTGGGAACCCGCAGCAAGCGTGCCGGGTCAGCAGGTGCAGAAGCGCCAGCCCAGGGCAGGTCCCATCGGCCAATACCTTTGACCAACAACTTGGCCGTGGAGACCAGGGGCCCTGCGCGGTAGGTGATGGTGCCTGAGTCAGCAACCCCCAGGCCCGAGAGTGTGAGGGAGTGGAGGGTCCCGTTGCGCACGGAGATGGCGCTCTGGGGGCCATCCTGCAGCAGGGTGCCATCCAGCCACCAGCGGGCCTCTGGCCCACCCGCGTGGGACACCTCACAGGAGAATGTGGCCACCTCCCCCGCAAAGACGTCCACGTTCTGCAAGCCACGTACCAGGCATGGTGCCGCCTCTGCACAAGAGGGCGAAAGGAAGGGGGCTGGGCGCCCTGGGTCTGTGGGGCCAGCCTGGGGTCTGGGTCTACAGATCCACCCAGGCCAGCTGTCCTGCCTTGCTTGCAGAATGAGATACAGAGACCACCCATGGCAAGCCCACGGAGGGCCAACTCAGCCCCCCTGCACCCGACACCCCATTGGAATACGTCCACTTGCACCAAAGGAGACTGATGACCTGCATCCATGCCCTTGTCAGAAGGCACAACACGTAAGTTCCAAGCCCCAAAACTGTGATCTTTGTGGGGTGAGGAGGAGAAGCCATGGGGCCCAATGCTCTGATCTGGTGTGGGATCTCCCGTGGGAGGTAAGCCCTCCATTCCTGGAGGTGTGGAAGCAGGTGCCTCTCCCGTCCCCAGATTTCCATTTGTGCAGATGTGCCCTCAGGTCCCTCCAGCCCTAAGATTCCTGGGCCCTAACACCACGTGTCACACAGTGGGGCCTGAACCCAGGCCCTTCCCACTGCTCTGTACCCCTGTACCCACCATGGCTGGCCCCTCCCCCAGAAGGCCCTCCATGCCCTTCCTGGGGGTGCACCATTGACGCCCTAGCCCCACCTGCCCTTCCACCGTCTCCCAAAAGTGCACACTTGACTGCATCCCCACCCTACCCCATTAGCTCCCCATTCCGATCTCCAGCAGAGTTCCCGAGTTCATCCATATGCCACCTAACAGGACACCCATTCACACACCCCCATGCTCACAGTCATCCCCACAAAGCCATGACCAGGCATCTGTACATGAGCCAGCACAGCCCAACTGGGGACACCGGACCAAGAGGGGCCAAGGCACACAGCCCTCGGTAGAGCCGGCAAGGCCCAACCCAGTCCCATGCTGCCCCCTCAGAGATGCCCACTGTGATAAACACATGGCCACTTTGCTCAGGACAACCAGGATCCTACCCCTCTCCCATCACTCAACTTGAGGGCACTGCACTCTGGAGCCTTACCCAGCCCCACAGTTCACAGAGCTGACTCTGTCTGTCCACCTTCTGAAGATTTGGTGCAGGAGGGGAGGGGACCTGAGATTCAGGACATACTCGCGACACACTCTGTCTCTATGTCCAACCCTGACAGCAGACTGGGGACTCCCTGAGGGCAGAGCTGCATCTGTCCCCTCTCTAAGTAGATAGTAAGATAGATGGTGGGTGGATGGATGGATGCATGGATGGATGGTGGGTGGACAGATGTATGGCAAGTGAATGGATGGATGGATGGACAGTGGATGGATGAATGAATGGTGGATGGATAGATGGTGGGTGGATAGATGGACACATGGATGGATGGGGGTGGACAGATGTATGGCAAGTGAACAGATGGATGGATGGACAGTGGATGGATGAATGAATGGTGGATGGATAGATGGTGGGTGGATAGATGGACACATGGATGGATGGGGGTGGACAGACGTATGGCAAGTGAATGGATGGATGGATGGATGGATGGTGGATAGATGGTGGATGGGTGGATGAACAGATGGATAGATGGATGGTGGGTGGATGAATGGTAGATGGGTACATGGTCGATAGATGGATGAACAAATAATAAGTAGATACACAGAAAGATGAGTGGTGGATAGACGAGTGTGGATGGATGTATATAGATGAATGATGGATGTGGATGGGTGGTGAGATGCATGGGACCAGCTTGAAAACCAGGAGTAGGACAGAACAGGAGACGTTCTCAGGGTCAGGCACTCAGAGATGACCAGCTCTGGGGACAAAGTATAATCCAAGGTGAAAGCTTCAGATCCTGCCTACAGGCCTAGAGACTTGTATGCTCTTGTCTAAACCTACATGCATCATGGTTGTGCTGCCGCATCAGCACTTGGAAATCTGCTGGATGCACAGCTGTGTGTCAGCGTAGACATGAGTACAGGGACTGGTGTCTCAAGAGTAGTCATATGAAGGGTGGAAATCCCAAAGGCCCTGCCTCCACCGCAGGGCCCAGGCCCACAGCAGCCAGCCCCCCCACTTCCCTCCTGTAGACAGCACTCATCCCATACTGGGATCCCACACACACCAGAACGTCTCAAGCTGACCTGCACTGGTCCATCTCATTGGGCTTTCTGGTCTGTGGCTTTAGCCACCAAGCAGTGGAAATTCGCCAACCCAAGGCAAGATTGCCTCCAGAAGGCTTGGGTTTCTGGTCACACCACCCCCAAATAGCTCCCTGAGTAAGGAAATACAGACACCCACAGGCAAAGCGCTGGTTAGGGGAGGGGGCTCCCACCTGTGACCTTTAACTGGGCCTCCGAGCTGCATGAGCCCACTTGGAAACTGATGGTTCCAGCATCCTCCAGGGTCACCTGAAGGAGAGAGGGGGTCTCAGCCGGGCAGCCTTGCTCCCACCATCTCCACAGGCCCCTAGCCCAGTCCGGCTGGAGTTGGGACCTTCCCTCACCCGCACCCCCGGGAGCACTGTGGCTGGGGACAGGTCCCAGGGCGCCCACCTTGCGCAGGGTGAGGAGGTGGAGCGTGCCATGCTCCACAGTGATGTCATTCATCTCATTGGCCTGCAGGGGCACCCCTCCCAGGGTCCAGCGGGCGCCCTGGCCAGAGGCCCTGGACAGCTGGCACCAGAAATGGGCGTCCTGGCCCTCGCTGAGCTGCAGGTCCTGCAGGGGCTCCACAATGGTCACCTCAGGGACTGCACAGAGGGAGACACAGCATCGGCCTCCAGGTCAGGAGTGCGTCCCAGTCCCCAGGGTCTTCCCCAGCACCCCACCCCAATTCCTGAGGACAAGCACATGAGGCCCCACTCCATCACATCTTGGCCATCCCAGAATTGCCCACTCACAGGGCCACGTCCCCCCCAGTTCCCCACCCCCGAAGGCAAGGGTTCAGGGATCTGTGTCTGGCCCACAGAGGGCCCGGACCTTCCAGCCCAGAGTGCAGTGAGCCTGCCTGGCCCCACTACCTTGGACAGTGAGCTGTGCAGAGGACGTGTGGATGCCCACGTGGAAGGAGACGGTGCCTGCATCCTCGGGTGTCACGCCCTTCAGCCGGAGCGTGTGGGTGCGGCCACCCCGCACGGACACCTCCGTCACCTCATTGCTCTGCAGGGGCAGGCCCTGGAGGCGCCACTCCACATCCGCGACCCCGTCCCGTGACACCTCACAAGTGAACTCCACGTCCCTGTCGACCTGCGCCTCAGCATCCACCAGCCCCCGCACAATGGTCACCTCCGGCTCTGGGATGTAGGTGAGAGGTCCCTTTACCAGCCAGGTCAGAGCACCCAAGCCAACCTCCCACTCCTCCTCCTCCAGGAAGCCTTCCTGAACACCCTCACAGTGTTCCACTGCCCCAGCCTCTATGTGCCCCACACATCTGTCACCACGACACCCGACTCCTAGGGGCAGAGACTGGGCTGGGGGCACCTCTGTTTGGAAGGAACATGAGCACTTGTGGGATGCTGGGCTGCCTCTGTCCATCCCCAGCCTGCGGCCAGCCCTGCCCTAGCCAGGACAGCTGGGAGGCAAGCCCTTTAAGGCAGACAGGGGCTCCTGAGGGCTGGTGGTGGGGTACAGGGCAGTGTTGGGGGGGGTGCAGCGTGTTTCCCACTGTGAACACTCCTCTCTAGGAGCACCTTCACCAGAGTGGAGCAGAAAGAAGACAGAGCCTGTAACCCCAGGGCCCTCAGAACAATGCCCAGACAAGGGCTTGGCCTTAATGGGAGCTGGGCCAGGCCAGGTGCACCCCAGGGCAGCCACAGGGGGAGAGGGTGTGGCAGGAAGGGCTCACCTTTGACCATGACAGAGGCCACGGTTTTCTGACCACCAGCCATGCAGACATACTCGCCCGTGTCCTTGGCCTCCAGGCCGTGGATCAGCAGCTCACGTGTGGTCCCCAGGCACCTTATCTCGTATTTGGGGCTCCCGTGCAGCTCCACACCCTCCTTGAGCCACTGCACTGGGACACCGGTCTCTGCCTCGCTCAGCCGGCAGCAAAGCCGGGCCACACCGCCCACCTCCTGCTCCATGCTCCGCAGCTCCTCCTGGAATGTGGGCCTGGGGGCTGGGGGACCAGGGAGGGGCGCTTAGGGCTGCTGAGCAAGGCGCCGGCCACTCCAGGACGGAGGGCCCCAGGGAGGGCAAGGGCTGCTGGGCTGCTCACCTCGGACAGAGAGGCTGGCAGCGCTCTGCGTGTGGCCCGTGTCACAGGTGTAGCGGCCGGCGTCCTCCTGCTGTGCGTCACGAACCAGCAGCTCGGCGGTCCTTCCCTCCTGCACCATCTGGTACTTGGCACAAGGGAAGAGCTGCAGGGAGCCCTTGTACCACTCCACGCTGGCGCCCTCCCGGCTCAGCTCGCAATGAAGGTGCGCCGTGGCACCCTCGTCCACCTCCTGGGCCTGCAGCTCCCTGAGGAACCGTGCAGGTGCAGCTATGGGGAAGCGGGAGAGTGTGAGGGGAGGGGTGCAGCTATGGGGCAGGGACACCGGGGGGTGCAACCCTGTGGGTCGGGGAGACGGTGGGGGCTGGACCCAGGGTGCCTAGAGGGGTGCAGGGGGAGAACCACCAGACAGCAGCTACGAGGAACGGCAGGGGCATGGCTCCTGGGTGCAGTGGGGCACCTCAGGGACAAAGCTACAGAGTGCAGGAGGGGAACTGCAAGGGTGAGGCTATGTGGTGCAGGGGTGAACCACAGGAGCATGACAGTGGAGGGAACCACAGGGGTGTGGCTGTGAGGGCCTCAGCTACCAGGCTGGGGATAGTGAGGGCTGAGCGTCCGGCCAGACCTGACATGCCCACGGAGCCCATGCCCCCTAGGGGATGCCCAGGGAGGCGCTGCAGCCCTGCGGCACAGCCCAAAGCACAGGGGACCCGCACGTGTGACAGGCCTGGCCTCGGGGCCCACCTGTAATGGTGAGGGTGGCGCGGGTGGCCCGGGGTCCACAGGCACATGTGTATTCTCCCGAGTCCTCCCGGCACAGGTCCCGCAGGACAAGCTCCACCGTGGAGCCCCGCTGCCGAGGCTCCCTGCGCCCATCGGCCTGCAACACCAGGCCGCCCTTGCTCCAGACCACGGTGGCATCGGGCTGGGACAGCTCACACCGCAGGGTCACTGAGGAACCCTCCTCAGCCTGCAGGCTCTGCAGTGGCTCCCTGAACACCACCTGTGTGGCTGAAGGGTAGGCACAGGATCAGCCCCCCAGTGGGTGTCCCAACATACGCTGGACACACTGAGGACGGAAAAGTGGGGAGAATGGGGTGAGGTGGGAGATGGACATGAGGTAGGAATTCTGTCCCTACCACCAGGACGGGCCCCGTGCGGTCATGAGGATGGAGGTCAGGAACCAAAGACACTGGACAGGCGAGCAGACAGGACAGAGTAGGGGAGGGCCTCTGAGAACCAGTGAAGATACAAGACACAGAGGCAAGGACAGGAACCCATGCACTCCGTGTGGCCACACACAGTCTTTACCCCTGACGGTCAGCGTGGCCGATGTCCTCTCCTGCCCGCACACACACGAATACTCCCCAGCATCTGCCACGGCCAGGCCACGGATCTCCAGCTCACACACGGTCCCATCCTGCCTCAGGCTGACTCTGTCCCCAGCTCTGAGGGTCTCAGGCCCCTTCTTCCACTCCACAGGGGCCGGCTTGCTCAGCTCACAGTGCAGCGTGGCCGTGGCCCCTTCCGTGGCCTCTTCCTTCCTCAGGCCCTCGGTGAACTTGGCGGGCAGGGCTGGGGAGGGTCAGAGAGACACAGACACAATCACGGTCCCTGACCACATGGACAGGACACGAACATCACAGAGAAGACACAAACCCAGGTGGACATTGCCACGTGCTCGGTGAGCTGAGTGCACACTGTGGCTTGTGGCTTCCCTAGCCTGGCCTGTGCCCAGTGTGGCTATGGCATCTTCAGTGGCTCCTCAGGCCTCATACTTCGTATGACTCTAGCTAGCACGACTGGGGAGATTCAGACACGGAACTGGAGATTGTTGGGAGCAGGACATGCCAGGACAGAGGACAGGACAGATTCCCATAGGACAACAGGACTAGCTGTGACCAAGGGGTGGGAAGTAAGTTGCTGGGATGCTGGCTTCTTGTGGTTCACACAACAGCCCAGGAGACAAGGCAGGAGGAGACACAAGCCTGGACATGAACATCAGGAAAAATACTGGACACAGAGATGGAGACTGAGAGATCCCAGGGGGACCCAGCTGGAGAGACACAGATGTCGACGCAGTCCAACAGAGGGAAGGTGGTGAAATAGTGACAATGGGCAGACAACAAACCACAGGTCCACACAGCCACACATGGTCTTTACCCCTGACGGTCAGCATGGCCGATGTCCTCTCCTGCCCGCACATACACGAATACTCCCCAGCATCCGCCACGGCCAGGCCACGGATCTCCAGCTCACACACGGTCCCATCCTGCCTCAGGCTGACTCTGTCCCCAGCTCTGAGGGTCTCAGATCCCTTCCTCCACTCCACAGGGGCCTCCTTGCTCAGCTCACAGTGCAGCGTGGCCGTGGCCCCTTCCGTGGCCTCTTCCTTCCTCAGGCCCTCGGTGAACTTGGCGGGCAGGGCTGGGGAGGGTCAGAGAGACACAGACACAATCACGGTCCCTGACCACATGGACAGGACACGAACATCACAGAGAAGACACAAACCCAGGCCACGGATCTCCAGCTCACACACGGTCCCATCCTGCCTCAGGCTGACTCTGTCCCCAGCTCTGAGGGTCTCAGATCCCTTCCTCCACTCCACAGGGGCCTCCTTGCTCAGCTCACAGTGCAGCGTGGCCGTGGCCCCTTCCGTGGCCTCTTCCTTCCTCAGGCCCTTGGTGAACTTGGCAGGCAGGGCTGGGGAGGATCAAGGATCAGGGAGACATCAGACTGTCTTAGGGACTCTGTGTCCAGGACCAGACACCCACAAGTACCACACAAACTGCAGAGGACCACGGCACGAATGAGTGAAAGAAGCACGGGTGGGGTAGGAGGCAAATGGCCCAGGAGGAGACACAAGCCTGGACATGAACATCAGGAAAAATACTGGACACAGAGATGGAGACTGAGAGATCCCAGTGGCCCCTTCCGTGGCCTCTTCCTTCCTCAGGCCCTCGGTGAACTTGGCGGGCAGGGCTGGGGAGGGTCAGAGAGACACAGACACAATCACGGTCTCTGACCACATGGACAGGACACGAACATCACAGAGAAGAAACAAACCCAATTGGACATGGGCTACGTGCTTGGTATGCTGAGCATACGCTGTGGGTTGTGGCTTCCCTCAACCTGGCCTGTGCCCAGTGTGGCCATGGCCTCTTCAGTGGCTCCTGGTATAACTTGGTATAACTGTGGCTAGCACGGCTGGGGAGACTCAGACACAGAACTGGAGATTGTTGGGGGCAGGACATGCCAGGACAGAGGACAGGACAGATTCCCATAGGACAACAGGACTAGCTGTGACCAAGGGGTGGGAAGTAAGTGGCTAGGATGCTGGCTTCTTGCGGTTCACACAACAGCCCAGGAGACAAGGCAGATTCCATGGAGTGACAGATGGAGGGTGACACCAAGAGAATGTGGGAGAGAAAGAACATGAACATGGACTGAGTGCAGATGGATGTCATGAAGTCTACTGAACACCAGAACATGGCTCTGCTTGGCCACACACGGTCTTTACCCCTGACGGTCAGTGTGGCCGACGTCCTCTCCTTCCCACACATGCACGAGTACTCCCCGGCATCCGCCACGCCCAGGCCACGGATCTCCAGCTCACACACGGTCCCATCCTGCCTCAGGCTGACTCTGTCCCCAGCTCTGAGGGTCTCAGATCCCTTCCTCCACTCCACAGGGGCCTCCTTGCTCAGCTCACAGTGCAGCGTGGCCGTGGCCCCTTCCGTGGCCTCTTCCTTCCTCAGGCCCTTGGTGAACTTGGCAGGCAGGGCTGGGGAGGATCAAGGATCAGGGAGACATCAGACTGTCTTAGGGACTCTGTGTCCAGGACCAGACACCCACAAGTACCACACAAACTGCAGAGGACCACGGCACGAATGAGTGAAAGAAGCACGGGTGGGGTAGGAGGCAAATGGCCCAGGAGGAGACACAAGCCTGGACATGAACATCAGGAAAAATACTGGACACAGAGATGGAGACTGAGAGATCCCAGGGGGACCCAGCTGGAGAGACACAGATGTCGACGCAGTCCAACAGAGGGAAGGTGGTGAAATAGTGACAATGGGCAGACAACAAACCACAGGTCCACACAGCCACACATGGTCTTTACCCCTGACGGTCAGCATGGCCGATGTCCTCTCCTGCCCGCACATACACGAATACTCCCCAGCATCCGCCACGGCCAGGCCACGGATCTCCAGCTCACACACGGTCCCATCCTGCCTCAGGCTGACTCTGTCCCCAGCTCTGAGGGTCTCAGATCCCTTCTTCCACTCCACAGGGGCCGCCTTGCTCAGCTCACAGTGCAGCGTGGCCGTGGCCCCTTCCGTGGCCTCTTCCTTCCTCAGGCCCTCGGTGAACTTGGCAGGAAGGGCTGGGGAAGGTCAGAGAGACACAGACACAATCACGGTCTCTGACCACATGGACAGGACACGAACATCACAGAGAAGACACAAACCCAACTGGACATGGGCTACGTGCTTGGTATGCTGAGCACACCCTGTGGGTTGTGGCTTCCCTCAACCTGGCCTGTGCCCAGTGTGGCTATGGCCTCTTCAGTGGCTCCTCAGGCCTCATACTTGGTATAATTGTGGCTAGCACGGCTGGGGAGACTCAGACACGGAACTGGAGATTGTTGGGGGCAGGACATGCCAGGACAGAGGACAGGACAGATTCCCATAGGACAACAGGACTAGCTGTGACCAAGGGGTGGGAAGTAAGTGGCTAGGATGCTGGCTTCTTGCGGTTCACACAACAGCCCAGGAGACAAGGCGGATTCCATGGAGTGACAGATGGAGGGTGACACCAAGAGAATGTGGGAGAGAAAGAACATGAACATGGACTGAGTGCAGATGGATGTCATGAAGTCTACTGGACACCAGAAGACAGCTCTGCTTGGCCACACACGGTCTTTACCCCTGACGGTCAGTGTGGCCGACGTCCTCTCCTGCCCGCACACACACGAATACTCCCCGGCATCCGCCACGCCCAGGCCATGGATCTCCAGCTCACACACGGTCCCATCCTGCCTCAGGCTGACTCTGTCCCCAGCTCTGAGGGTCTCAGATCCCTTCTTCCACTCCACAGGGGCCTCCTTGCTCAGCTCACAGTGCAGCGTGGCCGTGGCCCCTTCCGTGGCCTCTTCCTTCCTCAGGCCCTTGGTGAACTTGGCAGGCAGGGCTGGGGAGGATCAAGGATCAGGGAGACATCAGACTGTCTTAGGGACTCTGTGTCCAGGACCAGACACCCACAAGTACCACACAAACTGCAGAGGACCACGGCACGAATGAGTGAAAGAAGCACGGGTGGGGTAGGAGGCAAATGGCCCAGGAGGAGACACAAGCCTGGACATGAACATCAGGAAAAATACTGGACACAGAGATGGAGACTGAGAGATCCCAGGGGGACCCAGCTGGAGAGACACAGATGTCGACGCAGTCCAACAGAGGGAAGGTGGTGACATAGTGACAATGGGCAGACACCAAACCACAGGTCCACACGGCCACACATGGTCTTTACCCCTGACGGTCAGTGTGGCCGACGTCCTCTCCTTCCCACACATGCAACAGTACTCCCCGGCATCCGCCACGGCCAGGCCACGGATCTCCAGCTGACACACGGTCCCATCCTGCCTCAGGCTGACTCTGTCCCCAGCTCTGAGAGTCTCAGAGCCCTTCCTCCACTCCACAGGGGCCTCCTTGCTCAGCTCACAGCGTAGTGTGGCCGTGGCCCCTTCTGTGGCCTCCTTGCTTCGCAGTCTCCCTATGAACTCAGCAGGCAGGGCTGCAACAGGGCCCGACAGAGAATGTCATTTTCATCCTCCCGTAGGAATGAAAGGGGCCCGTGGGCAGGGCAGGCAGGGATGCTTACCCCTCACAGTGAGTGTGGCAAAGGTCATCTGGTCCCCGAAGCAGCAGGAGTACTGCCCACTGTCCTGGGGCCGCAGGTCCCGGACCACCAGCTCCAGCACAGTGCCCTCCTGACACAATCTGTATTTGCCTCCGGGTCGCAAAACCTCATCTCCACGGCGCCACTCCACGGGTGTGACCACAGAGGACAGCGTGCATCGCAGAGTGGCAGCCCCGCCCTCCAGCACCTCCAGGTCCTTCAGTCCCTCCTGGAAGCGTGCTGGCCGTGCTGTGGGCAGGCACAGGCTCGGCTCAGCACCCACCTCCTGCATCCTAGTGAGGGCCCCCGTGGCTGACAACAGCTGGGGACGCGGCAGCCAGAGGGTGCAGGCAGGCCCGCCTCGCCCTTTATGCACTGGGGGCTATGGAGAGCGATTCCCCCAAACTCTGTCCTCCAGAAGGGGGAGCTGAACAGGTGCGAGCAGAGAAGGGCAGAATAGCATGAACTGTACCCCCCAAATTCATACCCCAACCCCCAGAACCTCAGAACGACTGTTTTTGGAGAGGGTCTTTCCAGAGGTAATTAAGGTAAAATGAGGCCTAATCCTGCAAGTTACGTAATCTCATGAGAAGAGATGGACACAGACACACGACAATGCAGGGACACGGGGAGAAGTGCCTCCAGACACGCCAACGCCTGGGCCTGGGGCTTCCCACCTCCAGGGCGAGGAGACCATCAGAGTCTGTTGCTTAACTGCCCGGTGTGCGGTATTTGTTATGTTGCCCGTGCTGAGACAGGTGGGGACGAGCCAAGTCAAAAGGAGAGGGACACAGAAGACAAGGAACAAAGCAGGAAACACGCATCTGATCAGCGGACAGAAGAGGGGTGACTCTAGCAAAGCAGCGGAGCCCTGGAGATGGACAGAGGGGGTGCCCCACCCTGAGATGTGGGTGTGAGCCCAGGAACTTACCGTGGACCCTGACAATGGAGCTGCTCCAGGAGCCCCTGGACTCACACCTGTAGCGCCCGCCGTCCTGCAAGGAGGCGCTGGTAATGACCAGCTGGGCCCGGTGGCCCTCCTGGCTCAGCTGGCAACGGACTGATGGCCACAGGGCCTTCCCGTCCTTGGTCCAGCACACGGGGCTGTCCAGGGCGGTGGTCTCACAGACCAGGGTCAGATCCTCCCCCTCTGTGACGGTAGCGTCTGTGAGCTCGCGGGAGAAGACGCTTGGCTTTTCTGGAGGTACAGAGAGAGGCACGGGATGCTTGGGGACTGCTGCAGACCCTCGGCTGGGGCTGCACAGGGGCTGCTGGGGGAATAGGGCAGGCCTGGCGTGGCGCAGCCCACTGTGGGGACAGTGGGATCACCTCTGCACCCCACGTGCAATGATCACCTTCCAACAGCCCCACCTCCCTGGGATCCATGGGCTGGGCACCATCCCCATGAGCCCCAGGACCACGCTCTGCGCATGGCCAGCATCTGCCCTCCACAAGGCTGCACCCTCAGCCCCATGGACCAGGCCCCACCACAGCGCTGAGCACATCACCCACCTGTGACCCACAGGGTAGCCGAGGCCCGCTGGTCCCCTGCCTCGAAATGGACGGTGCCTGAGTCCTTGAGAGCAAGCTGCCGCAGGGTGAGCACGTGGTAACCACCTGGCTGAACCTCAATCTCATTGAGCTCGTTGGGGTGCAGGGGCGTCTTGTCCAAGAACCAGTGCACCGGCCCGTAGTCAGCAGGGCAGATGCGGCAGGAGAAGGTGGCTGAGCAGCCCTCGCGCACCTCCACGTCCTCCAGACCCTCCGTGATGAGCACTCTCTGGCCTGCAGGGCACACACCGGCGAGTCAGGGTCCCCCGCAGCCAGCTGCGAAGGGAGAGGGGCACTCCCCAAGACCTAATGGGTCACGTGGCTTTCACGGGCTCAGGACAGCAAACCCAGGAACCAGCGAGGGGCACCGTGTTTGTTTCCGCTTCACTGGTGAGCCCCAAACCTGCATCTGGGGTCCTTCCGCAGAGCACGCCGCGTGGGCCGCAGCACGTCCTCTGTCACCAAACTGCCCCTCACCTGCTGACATCCACCCTCAAGGCCACAAAAAGCCATCAAGTCATGGAGCGACACAAGGAACAGGGGTGTGACAACAAAGTTGTGTCTGTGTTAAAATTTAAATCAAACGCTTTGGAGGATGAGCGACGTGACTTGTTAGGGGAAAGCCCCACTTCTGCTGCCGATGTAGACGTGGGGGCGGCTCAGAGAGAAGTCCGAACGACTACGACGGACTCTGCCTGAGGATTCCTCCTGCACCTGCAGGGGTCTTAGAGCTGTGGGGCCACGGAAGGAACGCAGGGTGGGCAGCGCCTGCAGAGAGGACTAGGAAACAGTTGCAGACCGGCACCCAAACCCAAGGCTTCAGCTGTACCACCCGTCAGGCATGTCCGTGTCTTGTCTTCGAGGACAAGGCTTTGCTACTGTGTGACGCTCACTTTGACATTTTTTGGATTAAGCCTGAGTACCAATTTCTTACAGAACATGGTTTCTGCTGCAGGCACAGAGTGGTTTGGGGTGAGGTCACTGCATTTGCTGGTTTTCACAGAAAAGCAGAGGAAAAAACACAGCAAGTCTTCTTTGTTGTTCTTTCCTTGTTTCCTGTGCACAGACCCCTCCCCCGCAAAAGGGACTTCCCCGACCCTGGTTGCTAGCGATGGTGTTGGGAGGGCAGGGCACCGCTCTGCGGGGACACTAGTGTGCCCTGAGACCCTGGGCCAGCCACGGACCCTGCGTCAGGCCCCCATCTCCCGATCTGTGAGGTGGGTGCCCGGCAGGTGCAACTGCTACTCACCCCGGGAGGCCTGCAAGCCACGCACCCCGTGCGCAATCCCTGCGCAGCCCCGGTGTGGGGGCCAGGACCACGCACCCCGTGCACAATCCCCGCGGAGCCCCGGTGTGGGGGCCGGGCCTAAGCACCCCGTGCGCAATCCCCGCGCAGCCCCGGTGTGGGGGCCGGGCTCACGCCGGCACACAGGAAGGGCTCTCAGCACATGGCTGCACGAATTCACACCAGGTCCCCCCAGCAGGGTCTCAGAGACGAGACCACCCAGGCCCAAATCCCGTGGATAGGGAAACTGAGGCTGGTCTCCGAGGGCCTCCAAGCCTCCTTAAACAAAGCTCACAGCCAACCACAGCGCAGGCCAGCACAGCGCCAGGCCTCACCTTGCACCAGGAGCCGGGCCTGCGAACGGGCCTGGCCAATGTCACAGGTGTACGTGTCAGTGTCTGCCTTGTCCAGGGCACGGATGGTGAGCTTCAAGGTCAGGCCCTCCTGGCTGGGTGTGTACTTCCCTGAGGCATGCAGCTCCGTGAGGCCCTTACGCCAGGTCACCGTGGCTGCAGGACGCTCTGTCTTGCACACGAACACGGCCGTGCCCTTCTCCTCCGCCTGCAGGTCGGCCAGCTCCTCTGTGAACCGGTTTGCCTTTTCTGGGAAAGGGGTGGGAAGGAGGGGGGTTGAGGGCTGCTCAGACCCCATGCCGGCCCCTTGGGACAGGGACCAGCCCCCACCATGGGCAGCTCCCCTGCTGAGGCCATGGGGACCTATCCCCGGGTCTCTTGTGGGGTCACCTTCCACAAGGAGGCTTGCTGTGCTCTTGGAAGCCTCTGTCTCACACGTGTATTCGCCTGAGTCCTTGGGTGAGACCGCACGGACCACCAGCATGGCCCGAGTGCCCTCTGTGACCAGGTCATACTTCTGACTCTCGTGAATGGCTTTCCCAGCCCTCAGCCAGCGCACCGGGGCGCCGGCCCGAGACAGCTCGCAGCTCAGCACCACATCCTCGCCCGCAGCGGCCTGCTGGCCTTCCAGAGGCTTCGTGATATGCGCTGGCCTCTCTAGAGAGAGCAGAGCAGTCCCCCGTGAGCCCCGGCCAGGCCCCAGCCGTGCTCAGGGTGAGGACAGGGCAGGTGGCCATAGCGCCCTGGGAATCAGGAGTCCCCGTGGTCACGAGGGAGGGGGCGGGGAGAGGAGACATGGGACCACGGACTCTCACACCGCAGCATCGTCCAGAGCCCCAGGATGCAAGGAGTGGCGATTTTGCCAGCTCGGTGAGCCGCAAGCCTGGGGGCTCCCACAGCAGTCAGACCACACGCCAGAGACCAGAAACCCTGCTCCTGCCCAGAGTCCGGACAGTCACCCTACAGAGGGAGCTCCCTCGATGACTAACCCCCCAGCACCCCAGCAGGTGTCTCTGGGTCTCCAACCGGGGAGCTCTCCAGGGCCCGGCCCGAGGCCCTACTCCACCCCTTCCCGCCCGGCCCACGGTGCCCACCTCGGACAACGAGGAAGGCCTTGGAGGTGAGGTCCCGCACGGAGAACACCACCTCCCCGGCGTCGGTAGGAGCAGCATCCTGGACAGCCAGGGTGTACTTGCGGCCCTGGCGCGTGGCCCGGAAGCGGCCTGAGCCACCCGCTGTCTTCCCACCCACTGTCCATGTGGCCACGTCGCCGGTGCTCTCGTGGGACAGGACACACTCAAAGCTGCAGCTCTGGCCCTCCAGTACCTCCACCGTCTTCAGCCTCTTGGTGATGCCCACGTGCAGGTCTGTGGGCCACAGGAAACGGCTGTCGTACCAGGCCGGGCCCTTGGACACCGGCCCCCCCACCCCCTAAGGCTGGCACTGTCGAGCCCGCAGCTGCCCCAGGCCAGACACCCTAGGCCGAGACCTCACTCCCACCCTCCGCAGCCCCAGGCATGGTGGGCCTGCTGCCCCCTCAGCAAATGCCTCCAGCTGGCCGAACCCTGGTGTTCACATCATGGAGAGCTATTCCAACCAGTGTGGTCACTTCCCGTCTGCTAGAGAATGAGCCTGTCCACAGAGGTCACCGGCTCGAATGCTCCAGCAGGGCAAGGACGGGAGCCCCAAAGGAAGGGGCCATCCAGCTCTAGGACAAACTCACCACACGGCCCTGCCCCTTTCCCTGTCTCACCTCAAACCCCAACCAGACCAGAAGGGACCCGCACAGGGTGACCAGGCAGCAAGCCTGCCATCCATGTGCGCGCGAGGGAGAACCGGACCAGAGCAGCTGGGCCAGGACAGCAGTGCACACGGGAGGCCAGGCCCAGGCTGAGAGAGACGTCCGAAGGGACTCTGGTGTCCCAGGGGTGAGGGGGCCCATGCTGCGGTGACCTTGACTGTACCCTTCTGTGGCTCCCCCACACAGTCCCTGGCACAGGGGGACTGTCTCCAGCCTCTGTGGAATCCCTGGGCCCCTGGGACTCTATCAAGCATGGCCAGTTGGGTGTCCCCAGTCCTACCGCTGCTTACCGTCCCTCACCCCTCTGCCTGCACCTGGGCCTCCCAGGATCCCGTCAAGCCTGCTCCTCCAGGAGCCTGCCCTGACCTCTAGAGTTCTGAAGGGCAGCCTCCGGCCTTGGAGAAGGGCTGGGCCCCGAGCAGGGGCAGCCCCCGCAACCTGGAAGGGACCCCGCGTCGTGAAACCGGTTCCGCTCCTGGATCCGCCCCTGCCCCCTGGACCCAGACCTGCCCCTGGACCCGGCCCCGCCCCCTGGACCCAGACGCGCCCCCGGCCCCGCCCCCTGAAACCCGTTCCGCCCCTGAATCCGCCCCCGCCCTCTGGACCCAGACCCGCCCCCAGCTCCGCCCCCACGGAACTGACCCCGCCCCACCACTGGAGCAGGCTCCGCCCCCTAGAACCGACCCCCGCCCCTGGAACGGGCCACGCCCCCGGGAGCTCTCGCAGCGCCACGCACCGTGCACGCTGACTCTGGCGCGGGTCTCCTCGGAGCCCACGCTGCAAGTATAGAGGCCGGTGTCGTCCCGACTCAGGTCATGCACCACGAGCCCGCGCGTGCCCGCCGTGTGCAGGAAGTCGAACTTGTCGCTGGGGCCCAGCTCCACGCCATCCTTTCGCCACACCACGCGGGCCTGGGGGTCCGACACCTCGCACTGCAGGGCCAGCGTGCCCCGCTCCTCCGCGGACACATCATCCAGAGCCTTCAGGAACACCACCGGCTTGGCTGGGGGGCGAGTGTGGGCAGGTGAGAGAGTGGTCTGCCGAGAGCCCCGCGCCCCTCCCTGGCGGACCCCAAGGGCCCCGCAGGGACGGCGCACCTTTGACCTCCAGGCGGGCAGTGGCCGACACCTTGGGGGAGCGGGCGTGCACGGTGCCCGCGTCCGCCCTCCGAACCCGCTTCAGCACCAGCGTGTGGCGCCGGCCCTCGTGGGCGATCTCATGGAAGCTGTCGTTGTACAGAGGCGTGCCGTTGAGCGACCACTCCACCTCCTCGTCCTCATGGGACAGCTCGCACGAGAAACAGGCCCGGCCCTCCTCCGTCACTTCTGCGTCCTGCATCGGCTGCGTCACTGTGACCTCGCGCGCTGCCCGGAGCAGAGCGCGCCGCTCAGCACCCGCGCGGGCGCCTCCCCCAGAGACCCTCCCAGGGCCGCGTGCGCCCTCCGTACCTTCCACGGTGACCGCCGCGCTGCTGTGGGCGCTGCCGGCCTGGCACCGGTAGACGCCCGCATCGGCGGGCGTGAGGCGGAGGATGCGCAGCTCCGCCATGTGACCCTCCAGCCTCATCTTGAACTTCTCAGAGGGCGCCAGCGGCGTGTCCTCCTTGTACCACTGCACGGCCTTGGGGGATGGCCTGAAGTCGCAGGACAGGACCACCGACTGCTGCTCGCGCCCCGCCTTGGGCTCCAGCGGCCGCGTGAGCACCATGGGGATGTCTGCGGCGGAAGGGGAGAGGGCGGCGCTGCGGCCACGGAGGGACCCCGGCGCCCTACCCGCGCCCTGTGCCAGGTCCGTCTACAGCCCAGCCGCCGGCCGAGCGCTCACCTGAAACCACCAGGCGCGCGGTGGAGCGCGACTTGCCGATGGTGAAGTGCACGGGCGCCGTCATGGTGGAGCAGGTGCGGCGCAGCGTCAGGCGGTGCACCGTGCCTTCCTGCTCCATGCCCACGTCGGCCCCGGCCTGCAGCACCGTCTTTCCCAGGAGCCACTTGGGCGGCCGCACCGACGGAATGGAGGTCTCACACTCGAACCAGGCGGGGGCGGGCTCCATCACCGTGACGTCCTGCAGGCCGCGCACGATGTTGATGGATTGCTCTGGGGGGGAGGGGCTGGTCACCGGCGCGGTCCCGCAGGGAGGACCGCCCACTGCCGCCGGGACTCGGGGGAGGCGCCCGCACTGCGCTGCCCGCACCTTCCACGAAGAACTGGGCGCTGGTCTTCACGTCCCCGGCATCGCAGGTGTAGGTGTCCTCGTCCTCGGGCTGCACATCCTTGATGATGAGCTTCCGGTAGAGGCCGTCACTGACCATCTCATACTTGGGCCCGGGCTGTAGTTCCACGCTGCCCTTGAACCACTGCACCTGCGCGCTGGCGCGAGACATCTGGCACTCCAGCACACTGCGGTGCTTCTCCATGGCTATCTTGTCCCGCAGCGGGCGCAGGATGGCCACCGGCAGCTCTGTGGGTGTGGCCGGGGCGGTTGGGGGGTGCTCAGGGCTCGGAAACCCCACCCCTCTGCAGCCTCCAACCACCAGGCCACCGCCCTCGGGCAGAACAGCCCACGCTGGCCCCGTTCCCAGTCCAGCAGATGGCTACCCCGAGTGTCCCCCTCGGCCTTCTCCGGGACCCACTGCACACGGCTGACCAGGAAGAAGCTGAGCGTAGCCACATGCATGCCCCCGGCCCTTCGCAAGCTCCTTCCGCACACCCCTGCCCCCCACACATGCCCGTCTTGCCACATTTCCCCATACCACACCCTGCCCCCACCTGGCACACCCCTGCAGCAAGCAAATCCAAGCCTCCTATGCCTTAGCCCGCCCCCCTTGCTGCAGATCCTCCCTCCTTGATGCCCTCACTGTCAGCAAGGCCACCAGTTAAGGGCTGACGCTTGCCACCTGCCAGGGGTGCCACCTGCCCTCGCTACCTCTCCAGCACCTGCCACGGTCCCAGGAAGAGGAACGGTTTACTGCTGCCTCCATTTTCAACAAGGAGACCCTGAGTCCTCATACCTGCAACTGCCTCTCCCAGACCCCTGTCCTGCTGAGGAGGTAACACCTCCCTCTCCTCCTTCTGGGTCATTGCTGTCCTCCTCCCAAGAAGGGCCTGGGGCACCCCAAGCCTTTCCTGTGACAGCGGGCCTGTCAGCCCTTGGAAGGCCTAAAACGTGTGTGCTCACCCACACACTGCCCAGCACAGACCCTCCCCTGGGCCCCCTTACCTTTCACTCGGAGCTCCGCTCGCGATTCTGCGCTTTCGGCAACAAATCTGATCTCCCCTGCATCTTCTGCCAGGACCCTCCGGTAGAGGAGAGTGTATTTCCTTCCTGGAAGCACAGGTCACTCAGTCCTGGGGGGAGGAGGGCCTGGGGACGTGCCCTCCCGCAGCCTGCCCAATATCGCACCTTCCTGGCGGATGCGCACGTTGTCACTGGGCCGAAGCTTACTGCCCTCCCAAAACCACTGGGCTGGCACCTCGTCGAGAGAGACCTCACAGGAGAATGTGGCACCCTCCTTCTCCATCACCTCCACATCCTCCAGGGGCCTCACGATCTGAACCTTGCGACCTGGGGTAACAAGCAGGGCCTTGTCGCACCTGGACACACAGAGCTGTCCCTTCCCCCCTCCCACCCAGACTGCCTAAGGGTATAGGGCAGGGCAGCCAGGGGGCTGAGCACATTGCTGGGGAATGTGGGGAGGCCAGGAGGTTCTGACCCCTAATCTGCCCACCTTGCACCTTCAGGGAGGCTGAGCTCTGAGCGTCGTGGGCATCACACACGTACACGCCCTGGTCCCCGAGCTCACACCGGTAAATGATGAGACTCCGACACGCACCCTGGGCCACCATGCCCACTGTCTTGCCCACCCGCAGCTCCACACCATCCTGAGGAGGGATGAGGTTGGGTCAGGTGCTGGGACTGCCCAGCAGAGCAGCCCCTCACCTGCCAGGCACCCGGGAGAGGTAAGGGCAGCCAGAGGACTCCGGGGGGGGGGGAGGAGGCACCTTCAGCCAGCGCACATCCACGTTGGGGCGCGACAGCTCACATTCCAGGGTCACCTTGTCCTTCTCTGTGGCCACCATGTCCTGCAGGGGGCGGCTGAACCTCACAGGCAGTTCTAGGTGGGCAGGAGGGGGGAGGTGAGAGCAGGGCCAGGAGAGGTCTGAGCCGGGCGGTATCACACAGCTGCTTCTAGTGGCGAGACCCAGTGCCCTGCCCCCAGGATTCCACGACCTTGAACCCGCCTGCCTCCCCAGGCCACCCTGGGGACAGAGGTGGGTGCACCCTGCGGCGGATCCCGCCCACGCCCACGCACCGGTGACCATGAGCCGCGCAGACGTGTGCACCCCCTCGGCTTTGAAGGCGATGAGGCCGCCGTCCTGCGGCCGCAGCTCCAACAGTGTGAGGGTGTGAATGGGGCCATGCACAGCTAGCTGGCAGGTGGGCCCTGGCTGCAGCCGCAGGCCATCACGCGTCCAGCTGCCCTCCACGTGGTCATGTGACAGCTTCACCTCCATGCTGACGGCACCCTGCTCCCAAGCCTCCATGGCCTGCAGGCCCCGCACCAGCTGGACCTGGCGCACTGGGCACACACGCAGGGGCAGGGGTGAGCCGCTGCATGGACACCTTAGCCCTCAGGCCATCTGTCCGGGGGGAAAGGCACACCCCTTCCTTACCCCCGGGGCCTGTCCCTCCAGGGGGACATCCACCGCCCTGCCCCTCCCTCCTCCTTCCTAGATGCCCGACCCCCAGGCCCAGCTGCTGCTCACTTTCCACGGTGAGCTTGGCCTGTGTCTTGTCGTCCGGAGTCTCACACCCGTAGAAGCCACGGTCCGAGAAACCCACGCAGCGCAGAACCAAGCGGTGACTGGTGCTCTCCGCGTGAATCTCCACGTTCTTGCCTGGCACCAGGACTACTGCATTCCGTGTCCACTTGACCTCAGGCCACGGCCGTGTCAGCTCCACTTCCATGGTCACTGAGCTCCGCTCTTCCACCGTCTGGGGTTCCAGCTTCTTTCTGAACAGCACCGGAGCCTCTGGGGTCGCAAGCAAGGGAGGTCACCACAGTCACTGCCACTCTTGGAAGAGCCAGAGTTCGAGGTCCCTTCCTCCCCCCGCCCTCCCTCCCCCCGCCAGCACAGCTGCTCCCCACCATGACCTCACATTCCGCCTCCAAGCTGGGCCCGGCTGTGCACCTGCACAGGTCTGGTCACACAGGAGGAAGCTGAGGCTCTGGGAAGCTGCTCCTACCTCAGCACGCCTTTCATCTCCTGCTCCCCTGCTCCCAACAACCCAACCAGGCAAAGTGCCTCACACTCCTAAGTGTGGCCCATGACCGCCAACAGCAGGTCATGGGGAGCTGGTGCAACAGACTGAGCCCCCAGACCTGCTGCACCAGCCAGGCTGCTTTAAGGAGACCCTGGACGCTCCACATTAAGGAATGAAAAGCATGGCACCAGTGGGCTTCTCAGTCTCAGGCTCTGCCATGTTCTCCCCAGAAGGTGCTTGCACTGGCTGCCAACTCCACTTCCATCCATGGGGCTTGGCTTGGGATGCCTCCTCCAGGAAGCCTCACTGGACAGCCTCAACCTCTGTCCACTCCCCAACCAGATGCCCCTTGTGGGAGTTTACTTTGTCCCTTTCCGAGTATCTACCCGGCCCCTGGGCCCCACCCGAGTCTCCTTTGTGGAGCCTCCAGGTCACCCAGACCAGCTGGACCCAGGCCGGCATCAGAAGGCCTCCAGGGAACCAGCCCATGGGGAGGCCCTCCACGCGGCCCCACCCACGCACCTCGCACCCGAAGAACAGCCGAGGATTTGACACCCTCAGCCTCTGCAGTGATCTCGCCAGCATCCTCCAGGGTCAGGCCGGAGATAGTCAGGCTGTGGCCGGCGCCACTCTGCGCTATGAGAAACTTCTCGCTGGGCTGCAGCAAGGCACCATCCCGGAACCATGTGACTGCCGCATCACCGGGGGACACCACGCACTGGAAGGTGGCCTCGTGTCCTTCCTCCGCCACGACGGCGCTCAACGCAGCTGTGAACTTGACCGTGCGGGGGACTGCGGACAAGGGTTTTCCTTGAGAGGCGGGTGGGAGAGGCAGAGGCCCCGCCCTGCAGGCGTGGAGAAGGGACACCTCCTCCAGGCAGCCGCCCAGGTGCGCCCCGCCCGACTGCCCGCCCACCCGCGCGCCCCTCCCCGGCTTACTGCTGACGGTCAGCTGCGCGCTGGTGCGGTCGTCACGTGTCTCACACGCATACTCCCCTGCATCCTCCAGCCGCAGGCCTGACACAGTGAGCGAGCGCCGGGGCCCCGCGGCTTCAATCTGGAAGCGTTTGCCAGCCCGGAGCTGCGTGCTCCCGCAGCGCCACACGACCTCGGCCTGGGGCGGGCTCAGCTCGCAAACCAGCGTCACTGCACTGCCCAGCTCCCCGCTCACGGGCTCCAGGGGCCGGCAGAACTTGGCGGCCACCTCTGCAGGACGGGAGGGTCATCAGCTGCAGGGCTCGGGCCAGGGGATAACCTCTGTGCTCACCAGTCATGCGCCCTGAGTCCCCTCTGGTTCAGCGCAGGGATGCTGCCTGCATGACCTCACAGGGGACACCCGCCTCCTGCACCCTCCCCCCGCCACACACATGGGGTTCGCAGAGCACCGCCCCCAGCCCTGCTGACCTTCCACCTGCACGGGGAAATCCTGCACCTCTGCGCCCACACGGCAGCTGTAGACCGCGCTGTCCAGGGTTTGCGCGCTGTGGATGGTCAGGGTGTGGGTGTCCCCTAGACTGGACGTTTCGTGTCGCTTGCTTCGGCGAATCTCAACACCATCCTTGAGCCACGTCACCGCGGCCACAGAGGGTGTAGCCCGCGTGGCAGTCAGGACAATGTCCTCATGCTCCCTGACCACCAGAGGCTCCCTGCGGCCAGGTCTCTCCAGGGTGGGGGGTTCAGGCTCCGGCTCTGGGGGGAGGTCAGTGGGCCTAAGAGCAGGGCCTTTGCATTCCTGGCCTGGGCCCCACCCCGCCGAGAAGCCACACTGTGGGAGAAGACCTGAAATGGGGCCACTCCAAACTCCCCTTGCCCTGCAACTGGCCCACTTCCGTCTCTCTGCTGAGCAAACCATGCCACGTGGCAGCCACCATCCAGGCGTCCAGAGGCCAGAAAGGGCAGCCAGGAGGAGCCCCGTGGGATCACAGGCCTGGGGGCCAAGAGCTGAGAGCCCAAGACCCCTGCCCACCGGCGAAGATGGCCCCATGAGCAGATACGGCAGACAGTGGGAAGCAGGCAGTTAAGGGACCCTGCCACAGCCTGGGGCCTGGGTCCACATTACAGAAGGGCATCGGGGAGCAGGCCCAGGAGGGGAGGCAGAGAGGACAGCCTGGCCCAGGCGCAGGCCAGGATGGGCATCTCAGCAAGGGCAAGGCGGTGGGGCTGACGAAAGGACAGCTGGACAATCGGGACCCCAAGGGCAAAGCCCCTCCAGTGAGGCTCCACAGTGGCCCAAGGGTGACTGAAAACTGGAAACAAATCTGCTCACCAACCCTAGACAAAGAACAGTCGCTGCCACGCACCACAGGCCTTAGCAGCCTGCAGGTACCCAAGAAAGCCTCAGTGGCAGGTTCTGTGCCAGTTCAAGTGGGGATGTGGCAGATAAGGGAGAAGCCTGGGGAAACAAATGCCCAGAACGTCCCAGAATAAGGGCTGCAGGGAGAGTTCTCCGTCCAAGGACGTGGGCAGAGACAGAGCCCTGAGCTGGGCAGATCAGCAGAGAACCCAAAACAGGTGCAACACACAACATATCCCCCACACTGTGGAAGAGGGCGATTTCCTGATTTCTTAGGAGCGTATCCCCTCACCCAACCCTGACACGCACCTGCCACATCCAGGCGGAAGGACACCTTCCGGCCCCCGGCCTCACAGCGGTACTCGCCCGCGTCCGCCTTAACCACCTGCGGCACCACCAGCCGCCTGCTGCAGCCCTTGGCCTCCACGTGCACTTTGGAGCTCGCACTCAGCTTCTTCCCATCCTTGTACCACGTCACCTCTGTCTGGGCCTGGGCCACCTCACAGCTCAGGCTGGCGCTGGCCCCCGCCGTGGCCTGCACCTCACTGCGTGCTGGCTGCTCCTTGGCAAACACCACAGAGGGCTCTGGGGACAGAGAGGGATGCACATCATCAACGACATCATGTACGTTAGGAAGGTAACACGGGGGGAAGAAAGACTAAAGAGGGAGGCAGGGGACCTAAAACTCTCCGGCTCTGCATCAGCTGTGTGGTCTGGAAACCCTGACTGGCTTCTTGACAATGAGCAACACAATCTTTGGACCCATTTGATCAACACTGTGCGTGGGAGAACATACATTCGCTCACCGCTCTGCATGGAGTGTTCAAGCTCTACGTTGGCTGACCTAGCGAGGACCCTACATTCTACCACTCCTCCACGAGTGCTCTTCCAGGTGGGACCATACAGTCCATGACTGCTCCACCTGGACTGTCCCTGGTGGGGACCATATATTGTATCACTGCTCCACCTGGGCTGTCCCTGGTGGGGACCACACATTCTACCACTCCTCCATGAGGTCTCTTCCAGGTCGGTCCACACATTCTTTTCTTTTTTAAATTTAATTTTATTATGTTACGTTAGTCAACATACAGGACCACACATTCTATCACTGCTAACCATGGGATGTTCCAGGTGGGACCATTCATTCTATCAATGCTCCACGTGGGCTGTTCAAGGTGGGACAACATAATCTACTACAGCCTCAGGTGAGCTGTTCAGGTGGGGACAAGACATTCTATTTCTGCTCTACATGGGCCATGCATGGTGGGGAAATAACATTCTATCACTGATCCGCATAGGCTGTCCAGGTGGGGACCACACATCATACCACTGCTCCACATGTGCTGGCCTTGGTAGGGACCATACATTCTATCACTGCTCCACGTATGCTGTCCCAGCTGGGACAATATATTCTACCACTGCTCCTAATGGGCTGACCTAGGTGGGGTCCATACAGTCTATCACTGCTCCTCCTGGGCTGTTCAAGGTGGGACCATATATTCTAGGCTTACTCCACATGGGCGGTCCCAATTGGGACAATATATTCTAACACTGCTCCACCTGGGCTGTCCCTGGTACGGACCATACATTGTATCACTGCTCATCGGGAGCTGTTTCAGGTGCGGCCACACGATCTATCACTACTCCACGTGAGCCGATCCACGTGGGACCATTCCCCCTCTCACTCCTCCACGTGGGCTGTTGAAGGTGGGTCCATAGATTCTAACCCTACTCCACGTGGGCCGTGCTAGCTGGGACAATATATTCTACCACTGCTGCAGGTGGGCTGTTTAAAGTGGAGAACACAGATTCTATCACTTCTCCTAATGGCCTGACCCAGGTGGGGAACAAACAGTCTATCATTGCTCCTCGTAAGCTCTTCCAAGTGGGACCATTCATTCTATGCTTATTCTATGTAGGCTGTCCCAATTGGGACAATATGTTCTACCACTGCTCCAGGCCGGCTGTTTAACGTGGAGACCACACATTCTATCACTGCCGCTATGGGCTGAACCAGGTGGGGGCCATACAGTCTGTCACTGTTCCTCGTGGCCTGTTCCAGTTGGGATACATTCTATCCTTACTCCATGTGGGCTGTCCCAGTAGGGACAATGTCTTCTTTTTTATTAATTTTGTTATTGTTATGTTAATCACCATACATTACATCATCAGTTTTTGATGTAGTGTTCCTTGATTCATTGTTTGTGCATAACACCCAGTGCTCCACGCAGAACGTTCCCTCTTTAATACCCATCACCACGC